TATCAATTGTAGTATGACATAAAATCATAGTATAGCTGATAGAATTACGTTTAGCCGAATATAAAGATTGAGTTATCACCAGTTTTCTTTAATATTTTCTCGTAATTGTGAGACCGAGCCGAGCAAATCGCTTTAAAATTTTATATTTATAATTTAATAGTGCATTTGTAATACATCATCAAATGTACTGTACTATAAACGCTCTATTAAATTATAAATATTTTTAATGTATAAAAATTATTTTAAAGTAATTTAAGAAATATTTTTTTACGCCGATAATCGATAATAAAATATATTTTAAAAAATTATTGCACTCCAATCGAACACGAACGAGATTTCTTGCAGACATCGACTCGAATTGCTGCAACACTCCTCCAACCAATCACGATATAGATGCGTATGCGGACAATATGGCGGCGGCGATCGATACATTCCACATCCCTCTCCAAAAAAATCAAGAAAAATTCGTGCGATAATAAGAACCGAATACAAATTTTTATGACTATTTACCTGTATAGCATTTGTAACATTCCAACCCGCTTGCCATTCTGAAATTTTAACATCGCTGGCAAATTCACCTTCCCCCACTGCACCATCCAGCACATCACCTTCCACTTCATCTAAGCTGGCTTCGGCGCCTTGGATGGAAGTTGTTTGACCATCTTCTCCAGAATGATTAAAGGATGCTAATTCGGTATCCGCTTGACCGTGTCCATGTTTTGCAAAATGTACTTTTTCTGTATCCTGATTTTCACCGCAAGCACCTGGTAGATATGAACGTACCGTTTGCCACAATCGAAAAACATACCAAGACATTTCTGACAGTCAAAGGATTAAAATATCATATATAATATACTTATTTATATTAACAAAGAAAAGATATGGAAGACATAATTCCTTGATGTTCTTCGGAGAAGTGAAGACATACTCTTTCGTATCTGCCAGGCATTAAAAAAAAAATTCAAATTAATTTTAAAAATTCCATATAATTACAAAGAATATTAACTTTAAAATTAAAGCAAAGAAATCTTTCGAAAATTATTTTTAAAAAATTCATAAATAATATTTACATTGCTTTATTATTTTAATTTATATTCTATACTTGGNAATAATAAATTATTAAATATATAATTTTAATAGGTAAATACAAATTTAAAAATTTCATTTTTAAGCGCCACCTAAATTATTTTTTTATTTTTCTTTTGTTTTAATAATTTTATTTATCATTTTTTTTCTTTCTTTACAAGTATTGATTTAATGATGTTGTAATTTCAAACCGATTATAAATTAAATTTTTGAAAATATTTACCAGGCGTAATTTTTGATTAATTGCGAATAAATCAAAGTAAAAAGAGAATCTTACTTGCTTAGAGTAGCCATTTCGCCTCCTCCTCCAGAACAGAACTGTTCTTACATCCGGGAATCCCGATGTGAATGGTCAAAAATCGATATTTTAGAGCATGCTCATTCGCCAGCAAACGGCCCTGCCTGACGTTGCAGATTACACATGAAATTGCGCATGTGCTCATTGGGTTCGTATCTTTAAATTTAAATTTAAACAGCCAATTAGCTCTCGATTTTGTTTCATCTCAGTCGATTTTTCAACTGTTATCTATCTTTCGATTGGTTTAAAACTATAATTTTGTTATTAGGATGCTTCACTTAAAAATATATACTAATCTAATAGTAATTCTGGGAGATGTGACAAGAGCTCTGTAGAGGATTTTATGTTGTTATAAATATATTATGCTAACACAATCTTGCAAGCACTAATATATTATATTACAGTGAAGTCGCTGTCACATTTCTTAATGAGATTGCAAGTTATTTTGTATAAGTAAAATGTATAAGAGATCAAGAGATGAATGAGAAACGATACGTGAATTAGAAAAAGATGAGTAAAGAAAATATAGCAAAAGGTTGTTATAGTATTCTTCTGATGTATTCTGTAGAGTTGAACCTTATCTGGAAAGCATTTTAATGGCTTCTCCTCGTGGCAATTCCAATTCATAAAAAGAAAATTGCAAAATTTCAATTTAGCTATTAATTTGATTAAATTAAAATAATTACAAATTAATGAATTATTAAAAAGTAATTATGCTGTATACTTCTAAATAACATATTTAATATTTAGGCATATCGTAATTAAATGATTCGTGTTACCCCGGCAATGATTCTGAATTTTATTTTATTTTGTATTGAATGAATGCAATAAAATATATTAATTAAATTCTAACAAGAATCTGAAAGGCCTTAACCACTCACAAATGAAATTTTTTCATTTTTTATATTATATTTTTTACATAAGAAACTATATTTAGGGATTCCCTCTTATCGGCAAAATGGATTTGTTGGTCCCCCATCTAGGGCCAGTGGAATTATTTAAATATAAATTGGCCCGGTACCGATAAACAGATACGGAAGAAAAAGGCAAAAATACTAAAGAAAACTATAGAATTGAAATTACATATTCACTACGTCAATTGAATGCTAAATTACAACTGTCTAGTAGTATAATTGATGAGAAAATTCTGTCAGTAGATAGCAGATGAATCGACAATCATACATATAAAAGAATAATATAAAGTTACAAATTTGAAAATAATTAATAATTGTTTTAATATTTAAATTTGCAACGTATTGTTTGAGTTTAAATTATCATAGTTTCAATTTTTGCCCACAAGGCGGCGCCACATATACTCGCTTAATTTATTAACGGAACGGAAATTTGATTTCCGTTGAATATGACTTATTTAAATATATTTCGAACAGAACGTGTTTTAAATAACTTTCATTAAAAAAAAAAGTTCTAAATTTTTTTTCAATAGACGTGTGCAAGATTCTGCGCTGTTACATTTTTAAAATTCAGCAATAATGCTCGCACGAGTTAATAGGATTAGCGTGCTTAGTAATTGGATAGGGATCAGCAAAAATTCTTATCTAGAATTTAAAAGAATATCGAATCGTATAAGTGAAAACATGAACAAGAATTCTGTTTTTCACGCTTACATAGCGGATGTAAGTAAAGCCGCTGGTTTAAAAAACTGTATCACTGCACAAGATCTCTTCAACTCCATCCCTTCTCGTGTTAAACTATACGATCACGTAATACTATCTCTTATCATCGGAGAAAAGGCTTCAGAAGTCATTTTTGGAGTCAAGAAGTCCCGTTATGGCTTACCAGATAAGCAGATAATAATGTGCTGCCTTCTAGAAGAGGCTAGCCGCCTGAATGTCTGTTTTCGGGAAAATGGAACGATAACTTCTTTCGTAGATTATCCTGTAAGTACTTTTGGGGTGTGTCGGTGCGGTTATAGGCCTTTATACGTGGCTACTTGGTTGTCTCAATCGCAATGGGTGAGCTTGTTTCTGAGATACGGTGCTAGTATCTACGAAGATGATATCTGCGGATGTCACGCCAATAAAGCTCATGTTTTAGTTAAGATTTTTACTGCATTAACTAATAATAAATTTTATAATGATTTTGGTGCCATGTCCGAATGTTTTTGGCTATTGATGAACGAATTGGCTCCCGGAAGACCGCTGTGGAGAGAGATGTTGCGTTGGGTTCCTCGGATGAAGTGCTGCGTGGAAGATGCTTCGAGCATCCCTACTCTTAAACACTGCACACGTTACGTGATAAGGAGTATCTTAAGAGAGAAGAAGAAGCTTCCTTTTGGTATCCACGAACTAACCTTACCTGACATTCTTAAGCAGTATTTGAGTGTTTAAAGTTTTTAAATTGGTAATATCACTTACATATGTGCCAAAAGTTATAACTATATAGTGTTTCTTATGATTAATACTAGGGTAAGATAACAATATACCCAATATTCATCTTTTATATTATTTTTCTTGAATTAAATGTGTATGATTTTCTAGTAAATACTAGTAATTATATAAAACAATAAGATTCCATAACATAAATATATGTTTAAAAATTTGTTTATACAGTAAAAGTAATGCGAAAGTCAGTTCTAGCTTCGTCCGCCATCTTGGAAAACATGACGTTGTAATTTCAAACCGATTATAAATTAAATTTTTGAAAATATTTACCAGGCGTAATTTTTGATTAATTGCGAATAAATCAAAGTAAAAAGAGAATCTTACTTGCTTAGAGTAGCCATTTCGCCTCCTCCTCCAGAACAGAACTGTTCTTACATCCGGGAATCCCGATGTGAATGGTCAAAAATCGATATTTTAGAGCATGCTCATTCGCCAGCAAACGGCCCTGCCTGACGTTGCAGATTACACATGAAATTGCGCATGTGCTCATTGGGTTCGTATCTTTAAATTTAAATTTAAACAGCCAATTAGCTCTCGATTTTGTTTCATCTCAGTCGATTTTTCAACTGTTATCTATCTTTCGATTGGTTTAAAACTATAATTTTGTTATTAGGATGCTTCACTTAAAAATATATACTAATCTAATAGTAATTCTGGGAGATGTGACAAGAGCTCTGTAGAGGATTTTATGTTGTTATAAATATATTATGCTAACACAATCTTGCAAGCACTAATATATTATATTACAGTGAAGTCGCTGTCACATTTCTTAATGAGATTGCAAGTTATTTTGTATAAGTAAAATGTATAAGAGATCAAGAGATGAATGAGAAACGATACGTGAATTAGAAAAAGATGAGTAAAGAAAATATAGCAAAAGGTTGTTATAGTATTCTTCTGATGTATTCTGTAGAGTTGAACCTTATCTGGAAAGCATTTTAATGGCTTCTCCTCGTGGCAATTCCAATTCATAAAAAGAAAATTGCAAAATTTCAATTTAGCTATTAATTTGATTAAATTAAAATAATTACAAATTAATGAATTATTAAAAAGTAATTATGCTGTATACTTCTAAATAACATATTTAATATTTAGGCATATCGTAATTAAATGATTCGTGTTACCCCGGCAATGATTCTGAATTTTATTTTATTTTGTATTGAATGAATGCAATAAAATATATTAATTAAATTCTAACAAGAATCTGAAAGGCCTTAACCACTCACAAATGAAATTTTTTCATTTTTTATATTATATTTTTTACATAAGANAACAGGAGTAAGGGCCTCTGAAAAATAAAATTATTTTTTAAAAATTATAAAATTTATAACATTTTACACTTAAAATTAAATGTTTTAAGTTTTAAAATTTGTAAAAACGGTTTTTAACGGTTTTTTTCTCACGTGATTGTAATTAATGGATTTTGTGAGGCTCCGGAAATAGTCAAAAAAAAACAAAAAATGTAAAATTTATTAAGTTAAACCATCGAAAAAACAAGTTATATAAGTGTCGAGTCGGCGACACCGGACTTTTCTTCCGAAAAACTTAAAAACCTCCACCATCAAGGACAAGGGGCTTCCTCTAGAGTAGACCCTTTGGGAACGTCGCCCTCTTCTCTCCGTGCTTCCGCTAATGAGTGCCTAACTCACCGATATCCATTGCATCTTTTCTACTCCGAACTCTAACTCGCCATCGCTCGAGAAATAAACGGTTTCTTTGTCTTTTTCTGCCTCCGAAAACCCCCACCCGCATACGCGAAGGCCTTAGACCATTCCGACGAAAGGGAATAAAAAACCCCCCTAATCGTCGAACTTACAATTTCATTGGAGGTTTAGATAAATGTCCGTTATCGTAACGGTCTTTCAAAAAATTACGTCATATAAGCCGTATTTAATTCAAAATATTTAAAATTTTAAATTTATAAATGCCAAAATGGTAAACGTTACAAACTAACCTTGCAGAAGATCTCTTGTATGAAGCTCTTTTTTCACGGAACTTTGATTCGAAAACAGCTTATCGTTACCGAATGCTTCTTCGTTTGCTGTTGAGAAATTTAAAAAATGGTCATAAAACTGTTAAATTTTTAAATTCCAGAAGAAGAATAAGAAACTCACGAACGCAATTCGCCATGGATGCGTTCCACCTTTGATCATTGATGCAGTAAAGGTAACGATTGTCTTGTTTACTGTCGTTAAAAACATGATCTTTACAACACATATACATGGCAGCTGTCCCATTGCTGTAAACCATATATCCTAAATGGGGAGGAGGAAGAGCCGTACAACCACGAACTGAAAATGAAATAAATGATGAAATTTTCAATCTTCCATAAAAGTCATTGCTGTAATGCTAAATAGGGGCATACCTTTATAATAAATCATAAATCCTTTAGAAGGGATGAATTCTTTAGAAGAAAGGCGAATTTTAATTTGATTCTTTTTCGATATTACGGTTCGTGGAAGATATTTTGGCCAGCCACATCCTACTAAAAGCTTCCTATACCCCTCAGTAATTGTTACGTCATTGCAATGCTCGTTCTTTTTAGATAGTCTGAGAGATATATCAAGAAGCGTCACGCTAATTGTCTGTCCTACACCCGCTTCTATAATCCAGCTACAGTTATAAAATCGTGGATAGAACATAGGATAACCCGGAGACGTTATGTATCCCGAAGAATTCTTCAAGTGAACGTTGCAGTATTTATTGATACTGGTTTCTGTTAAAAGAAGGTTACTTCAAGTGGTGTACAAAACAACTTAAAATCGGTTAGTACTAAAATCAGATTATATAAAGTAATGAAAAACGATCCGGTACGATCATAAAGAACTGGAGACTTAAACGTCAAAGGGCCTGAAAGCTTACAGTTAACTTCATTTAGAAGTGGTTACATCTGCTCTCAACAATACAGAACATCTGCCCATCGAACAACTCAGTAAATTACTGATCTTTACTGACCGTCTAACCTTAAATGATTTATTTTCCAATTGACAGATTTTATCTCTACAACTGGATATAAATTGTTTCCCGTTAAAAAACGCAGTGGTGCTTTTTTTTCCTGATTAATCCTTCTAACGGATCCTCCATGGACTGTCAAAGTACATAAATTAATAAAGTCAGTTTATCTTCCAGTGTTTAAGAAGAGCAGATAATATATATATAATTGCTAAGGTATTCTGTTTCATTTCAAAAATATCCCAAACTCGAGTAACTCTTAACGAGATACAAATAACTGTTTGAAGACCACACGCAGATCCCCATTCATGTCATATTAAAGAGTATACTTGCTTTAAAACCTCCGCCTCTTGGCCTATTCATTTTTATGTTCAATGGACTAGTGATTACAATGTCTGCATCACTCAGAGACCCGCATGAAGGAAGAATGGCCCCTCTACAGAAAAGAAAAAAAATATGGTCGGATCGACAGGTGAGAGAGCGATTGAAAAGATAAAGGAGTTGAAGTGTGCTTAATTCTTGTCACGTAGTCTAACCAAACAATGAGCAAAGGGAGGGTTTTAAATCCTGTGGGTTTATAAGTTACATGAATATATTTATATACTGTAATGCGATTTCCTAGGGGGAACGGTTTTCGGAGTTGTCAATAGGTTCTCACTACACGGAATACGGCTTAACTGCTAAATTACCATCAATGTAATATTAAAAATAATATTGTTTTGTATAAATATTACAGTTTTTCTTTTATATTTTTAATAATTATTTATAAAATTTAATAAATTGGCCATCTTCTCAGCTTACTCCTCGTTAGCGATCGAAAGTCGTTGCTCGCTTCATAAAAGTAAAATTTGCATTTCTAAAATAAAATAAAAAAAGGTTTATGTGTCGTAGGCGTGTCTAAATATAATCACTAGTTCCTATGAAAAGTCATAAAGTGATGAGCTGAGAGGGAAGTCTGGCATACAATGATTGAGTTTATTGATTCGTAACCGTATCGTTAAGCTACTTTCAGACAGTTTTAATGAGCGCATTTGTTCTCTTTTTTTCGTATTTTCCTACTTTTACAAACGATAAAGTCTTTCATATTCACCTGGAATGCAGGAATACTTGATGTCGAGGAGACCATAGTCTAAACATTTCTTGTCTTCGTGGTCTCTGGCCAAGTTGAAGTTGCATTTGGATAAGCCTGAACATCTGTAACGAGTTATTGTCTATTAATAATTATATTACGTACATATTTTTTTCTACGCTTTTTCGTAGTAGCTAATGCTTACTTTGATGCAACAGAAAATGATATATCTTCTGTGCAATTGGTTTGATTCCTGAGGCACGTTTCGTTCAGTTTCTCAACGTTCGTAGAAAAGGTGGCTTGGTGAACGGCCAAAATGCTATGAGAGTTGCAGCTGATGTGAAAGTCTTCGTCTGAGCAAACTTGAAATGTTTGTAAATCTGGAAATTTAAGGAAATTTTCTGTTATAATTTCACCGTAGAAGCTGGCTATTTTAAGTCACAGCCTACCCGAAACATCTAAGTACCTTATAAGGTCTCTTAAAACTATAAAATTCTAAATATTTCTAAAACTGTAAGGGCATTGTTAAAAAATTTAAGAGGGCCGTTGACTTAAAAACAAAGAAAATATCATAAATTTTACGTTAAAAGTCAAAAAACATCAAAATCTATCGAATGAATGCAATTAATCTAAGGAAACTTGAGCAAAAAGACCGAATAATTTAACCTAGAATATCTTCCGTGTTGTACAGTACAAAAATACAATTCTAATTAAAAATCTATTAACTTGCTTAACGCTCATTAGCAACCAAATATATCTTTGTGAGGGGAAAAAAATGAAGAAATAATCCTAGGCGTTAAGAAGAAACTGGAAATTAGCCAAGAAATTACAAGAAACGACCATGAAACTTCAGTTAAAATGATAGTTTTCAGCATCACAAAATAGCAATTTTGAATTTCGGGAGGGTCCCAGTTCCGGATGAAACTCGTTTTCACAATAAAATCCAATTAACACATTTTTTTTTTGTTCCCTTCTCCCATTGCAACAGCGATCAGCACAATAGTTCCAAATTGTCAACACCCACATTTATATAAACACACAAACACACACGCATACACAAAAAAGAAAGGAAAAAAAACATTTAAAAACTTAGATAAGTATTCAAATAAAAAGTTCAGCACCGGTTAAACAAATTAGTTATTCAATTAAATAATAAGATTTAAATCAATTGTTATCTTTACCTTGCGATGTCGCACAGAATAGAAACGTGGTAAACACAAAATAAACAAAACGCATGATTGAAGTATTGGGCAGCTGGCTTGTGAGGCGTCACACGTCACACTGCCTACACGTGCGCTGACCACGTGCCCATTTGGTCAACACTTCATCGCGCCATCTAGCGATCATTCGAGCTTTTGTCACCGGTGGTCGAATTTTCGCCCGCTTTACTCAAAATAGAACTTGGCTCGTTGCGAGTCGTGTACGGACCAATTGGCATTTTGATTTTTTTTTTTTATGACCCCGTTACGTAATTCAATAACACAAAATTTGATTTAATTAGCGGCTACGTTATTGAATCATTTCCCAATCTAGTGAAATGACCCATTCGGTAACCCACTCACAATGGCAGTTTTATTATAATTTAAAATAATTATAATAATTAAATTGCTCTTTAATAATTGCTATTCGATTATGTAATAATTCGATTGTTATTTCCTAAACAGAGTCAAACAGCCAACGTTTTTTTCTATACCTCTATATAGTGAATTTTCTTACGAAAGGAGAAAATATATTGCTGTATTTATCTATGGATAAAATCTCGAGAAATTCGTAAGGTGACGTGACAAGCGGTGACCTATTGTTACGTCGAAGTTTCATTTACACCGAATAATTGACAAATGACGTCAAATAACAGTCTTGTAACTTTATCGGCCATTAAAACTTTAATGCATAAGTTAGAAAGTAACAAATAATTTTTTTTTTGTATGGAACGAACTTAAAATAAGAATTTTTTATTTTTCTATTAGATTATTTACCTGTTAGATTCTATTAGATTATTTTTAATGATAAAATTAAACCTTAATTATAATAAAATCTCTTTTTATGCTTAATCCTAATACCAAAATCAATCTTTAACTTGGGAAAGAATGACATTTTAAGTGATATTCTTTATTTTCGTGGGCGAGTTGACCCGGATATGTCGGGCCTTCTCTCATTGTGGGCCTGACAAAATCAGGGAAGCTCCTCTTAGCGCCCTCGGGCAAAAAGTTAAAATTACAAATAAAAAGAATGGTACAAGTCGACCCCCCTATAACACTGTTGATTATTCTGTTTTATATGAATTCCATGTTGTACAAGTCACTTAGATTTTACAAATACATGTACCGGGCTGTGAATGGCTCACATATTTGTAAAATCTAAGTGATTCGTACAACATGGAATTCATATAAAACAGAATAATCAACAGTGTTATAGGGGGGATTGACTGTATTAGCTTGGTTAAGGTTATGTTGCTTAACACAGCAGCGGAGACAATACTGATAAAAACAATCGATTTTCACACTTCAATTAACAGAAAAAGTATTAATATTTTGACAAATTAAGTTAAAAAATGGAAATTTTTATCCCATAGATGTCCCCTATACATGAACTCATGCTGCCACCTAGCGGCCATAAATTAAATAATCGCATTCGGCCATTTTAACTCCGAGATCATTAACGTTTCGATAGAATTTTGGATCAGATATTAAATATAACATGTTTTAAAAGTTCCAGAATTTTTATATAAAAATTAATTTAAAAAATATAGTTTCTAATTTATAAAAATACATGATTTTTTAAGAATAAAATTCAAATTTAAAGCTAAAAAATAATGTACAAAAATGCAGTGGAGCATCAGGAAAAATACAAGATCATTAATTACGTACGTTACTTATACAGGAAATGCTTACCAGGCGGAGGCTTTCTAATTAACTTAAGAAATTTGATTTAAATTCTTAAAAAAAAAAAACTTGAACTTTTAGATTTTTTTAAATTTTAAATAAATCCTATAGAAACTCGTAAACAAATTAATTTCAATACATCGAAAGATGTCCATTGATTTAAATGAATATTCCTCTTGACATTTATACTTTACGTAAGAAATGAATCATAGAATGTAATATAAATGTATAATAATATATAAAATGAAAGGTTAAATGTTTGTTTAATGTGTGCATTAAAATAAAAAGTTGTCATAAACATTATATTGCTTCAGGAAGAGAAAATTCCAAGGCCATTCGAACAGGTTACTGATATATTATTATGTCATTTGTATCGAAACTTGTTGCACTTTTTCGATTGAAGTACACAAAAAAAAATGAGATAAAGTACCATACATCCCGTTTCTTTCACTCGTTTAAAGGTTCAGATAAGTTTAATGTAACCTTTCCTTGCAAGTAAACAGCTTTCTCCTTAAGAAAAACATCTACGAAGGTCTCTGCTATCATCAGCGAAACCTGAAGACGGATCTTGTTTTTATACTGTAGACCCCCTCGCTTTACGACCCCTCTCTCTCTCTCTCTCTCTCTTTCTATAAACCTCCCTTTTTTATTAGTAGTATTAATTATACTTTATACGAAATGCCATATTTTTGCTGGTGTTCTCCCTGCCGGACATTGTATAATTTCAATATCTCAATGTTAATTCAATTTACAACTTTGTTCTTATGGAATAATTAGGCTCGCTTTACGATGGTTTTTTCGGAACGATTAAGGTATGAAAGGTGGGGTCTAGTGTATTTAATATGATTTAGTGTATCTATCGTGTTTCGTCGAATTATATATTTTTTCCAAATAAAGTAAAGGTCTTCATATTTCTTTAAATTAATAGCGTAAATCCATTAAAATTTCTCAAATTTTAAGTCTGAAGCCATGTATTTTAAGTAGAAATATTAATTTATTTACATTTCAATTCATGAAATTTATATGGAAATAGCTTTGTTATTGCTTCAGTTATAGTAGATAGAATATGACCTGTATTGAATTATATTTTCCTAAATATAAAATTGAACATATAAATTTTTAATTAATATTTGGGATACGTTAGATGGTACGATCCGAATTTTAATATATGACCCGGCTTCCTCACAACGAACGATTGGTTAAGGTCAGTTATATTTATAGTAAAGGAAGTCAACGACTATTGTAGCCGAACGAATGCATGAACATATAAACACTTCTGGAACAATTTCCGTAGGAGAGGTGACTTTTTTTTTATTTATTATTTCGGAAAATTTCTTTATTTCTTGATGCGTGAAGATCCATTTTTATTAATGATATCAAGCTAGTTAGTTTTATGATGCAGTTCGTACAAATACTACTGATACTTTGAATGGCTGCTTACGAAGAACGTCGGAAAGGACATCATCAAAATCGTGTTTAAATTTAAATTTATATAATTCAATGAATAAAACTGAAAAAAATGTATAGTTTGCAACGCGTTACTCGGCATATATCCCCGACTTTTCATTAATTTGTGCTTGTAGATGCACCTAATTTACGAACACGAGAACAATATGACGCCATTTTGAATTTTCTCAGATCCGAAATCTGTTATTGAAGCTCAATGAAACTAAACAGTTGAGCCTACTTAATTAGGCTTCTCGAAAACTGAATTATTCGCGACATAGTTTTACATAACGTTTAGCTTGATAAAAATTGGAACATAACCTGAAGATTTGAGATCCTAACCCCGTTAGATTCAAAGATAAACTTTATAGATAGATAAACGCATAAAATACTGCATAAAGTAGGAATCCCCAAACTTTTTTAACCGTCGACTCCTTCAAGGATTCCTCCATCTTTCATTGATTCGCTATTTTTCCAATATAATTAATAATAAATAAATCTAGTGAACCAGTATTAATCTACACACCGTTTTCATAGAAAAGATCTACTTATGAGATGCAAATTTACATCCTGAACTGTCATATACTAATAAATTATTAGACCAAAAGGTTATGTATATGACAGTTTATGATGTTTTAAATTAATTCCCGAAAATGCCCACTTTCGGGACCGCCGGTATAAAATGTAAAGATAAGAGATTAAACAAACAAGCAATTAGAATATTATAACGAGTGTTTATTAAAGTTTAATATATATTTACACACCTCCATTGAGGTAGATATCAAGACTTCCCGGTCTTACCCAGAAACCATCATTAAGAAACAGTTAATTTGAGCATTTTTTTCACTCTACAGTCATAAATAATTCATCAATCACGCATACACAAACAAGCGTAACCGTCAGTTAGACTCTGAACTCACGTTTCAGAATCTAACAGAGGGATTTACGACGATACGGCTATTTAGAAATGACCACAAATCAAATCAGTAGGCACCACGTCTGGATTGACTACCCAATTGATGGCTGTACCAGTCACGAATCATTTTCTTGTCACGTGAGGGGCTAGGATCAGCAGAAGGTCGATGAGGTTTATTTTTATCGGGTCGGGCGTACAAAGCTGCAACATCACTGACCATAATTTCGTTAGCTTCTCTGTAACCTTCGATGGTACCCCTGCCGTTTCCGCGAATGTTTGGATTATCTAGAGTATCCTGGCGGCTGACAGGCGCGTGCGAGTTTTCGTGATGCTCCACGTGAACCGGATATGACGAAGTCTTCCCGTCGTATCTCAGATTCTCCCAGGCACGCTTGTAGTACTTGTGCAAACTGTGTCCTCCGCTTCCTCCACTGTCGTAAGTCGAAATGGTGGTGTTATCCAAGGATCCTCTGCTGATGCTGTTTCTGCTCCTGGCGGATGGAAGAGGGAGGTGAGCCACACAACTCACCAGGGTACAGTATCGTGGACACTAGTCCTGTAATGTTAGCACAAGGGGTTAAGGTAGAGAGACCCATCCCCATGCTTTTCTCTATGCTTCGACCAGACAAAGCATGCGTATTATTCAAAGAAATTTTTAAAAGCCGTTAAGCTATTGGTTAATATTTATTATTATAAGCCAGCAAACTTAATTTTGATTAATTTTTGAAGATACCAATTAATTGGGGTGGGCATTTTTGAATTTTTTTATATTATTTTAGATCTATAAAAAAGTAAACGTCACTTACCGGCGTACAAAGACTAATATTAAAGTAACTGTGATTCCTATCAGAATGAATCCTCCAAAAACGGCTAAAGCGATAATTCCACCTAAAAATTTTCAAAAATGACATCTGTTTTTTTAAAAAATTATAAAAGTAAAACCGAAATCGCATCATACTTGGCTGGCACTTACCCATATTTAGCCTGGCGCTAGCGGGGTCGGATTTATCTTCATATTTCTGCCCAATGGTGTTACTTGGTAATTCGGCTTTTGGGCCCGTATCACCTCTTATATTAAGGTTGTCAGGGATGTCGTTACTGAGAGGTTTCAGGGTGACGATATCACGCAGAGGAGGTAGCGTAGGTGTAGTGTAACGGTGCCTAGTCCATATATGTGTATAGGGTGTAGACGTTGTGGTAGTCGTTGTGGTACGATGGGTGGTCCTTCTTGTTGTGGTATAACGTGTGGTCGGTCTTCTGGAAGAGGTAGTTTCTGCAATAATTATAATTGGTTCTGTACTATGAACTGGACGTTGGGTCAATCTGTGAGTGGGACTAGGTTGCGCGTGAGTATTTCTGATGGGATACACAGGAGAGGGTTGCTTCGTTGAGCTTGTTGTGGTACTCAAATCGGCTGTAACGACAAGAAACATAATTAAAATTTTAAAAATAATATTAATTAATACAAGTTTTTCAGTTATAGTTACATTTACATTCGTGAGAATCCCTATTACTTTATAACGGTGCCGCGATTTTATCACCTTGCATAATTTAAAGTTTTTATTGGAATATTTAAAGTTATAATTCACATTATTTGACCCTGTTAAATATTATTATATAGGTCACATTATTGAAAAAATAATAACAACATTTAGACGAATATCTCTGTTGTAGAGGAGATATGCAGATTAGATCGCATCCTGTTACACACAATGTCTGCTTACAGATGAAATATCACACTCCATCAAAACCGGTCGTGTGAAGAAACCCTGCATCTTTCCTTCATATATAGTTTTAAATTTTCTATATTTTTTGTGTATAAAAATATAAACTATCGTGTCACGTAACACCAAATTAGTTCTACAATATTCACGCAATATTATGCCTCATTATAAGTATCCTGCCTTATTGATTTAAGACACATTTCCTGATTAAGGTCTATAATTAGACTATTTAAGAATTAATTTAAGAAACGTGCCCTCTATTGTCACACTTTCGACTAAAAATAGATCGATATCGTGCGTAATTCTATTGTTATTCCAATGTTTATATTGATAAAAATTTGATTTAGTTCTATATTATTGGAAACTAGGAAAAAATAAATAAAGTTATGCTTCACCCACCTTCGCACAGTGGGGCATCCGCATCCCAATATCCGCTGGCAACACAGGTAAGACGAGGTTTTCCCACCAGTCTATAACCCGGTTCACAGTAATATTCGGCAATTGTACCATACACGCTGCTGTTTGTAGACAGGACAAAGCGACCGTTCTGTGTAGAAGGTGGTACACGGCAATAAACAGCTGAAAAATTAACACATACAAATTTAGTATACTTAAATTATAGTTTACCCTATAAATCTAAGAATAGTTTACATACGTTCGCATCTAGGTGGTGGACCATTCCACTTTTCATCAACGTCACATATCAGATTTCCACGACCCACCAACACGTAACCGTCTTGGCACGCATATTGAACACTGCTTAAATAATGCCTGGTTCCATTTACTAACGTGTATTGCCCATTGGGAATTTTAGCGGGTAATCCGCATTCCAGATCTATAAAAATTAAATTTTAGAACAGTGGTCACTCTTAAATGAAGTTCTTAGAACATGACATACATCTACACTTTGGTGGCAACTCGCTGAAGAATCCAGTTGGAAGACATGTTCGGATATTTGGACCGACTAGCAAATGTCCTGGAGCGCAACGATACTCTATAACTGATTCTATCTCCAAACTTCTTGCTAAAATTGTAGAATTGGCTGGCCTTTCTGGTTTTCCACAAGTCGCCGGTCCTATAATATATGCAAATTGGTTCAGTTAACTTTTAAAACGAAAGAATTTTAAAAAAAGATAAAAGTCACTTACTGTGTTGACAAATAAAATTCAGGTTTAAGTTACAATTAGTGTCAGACCAGAGCCAACCTTTGGCTCCATCAAAACGAGAACAATTCTCGTTAGTTCCGGGAAGGTTCCAAAAAGAAATTGTTACATCTTGACCTACAGCAATGGTAAATATGTAAAAATTGCGTTAGATTTCCTTAAAATTATACCTTTCTCACCATATTTTACAATGCAAAGCTCACAATAACTCACCGTTAATCCATTTCCAATTGTTTCTATCTCTCAAATCTCTAACTGCACCCATCCAGTATTGACCACTAGGATCGTTACGGTGTCTACGATACAATTCCCAACTTAAAAACCCTTGTAAGGCAGGACTAGTTTCGTCAATCAAACTACCCCCACGAATCTCACAGAATCTTCTAGAATGCTCGAAATTTCTTGGTTGATTATTATAAAATATATAACATTTTCCATTATAGGTGGCCGTACTTCCCAAGGGTTGATCACGGAAGGATGGACATCTCTCGATAGGAAGAGCTAGAATAATTAAATTAATGTGTCAATAACGTGTAAAAATGATTCAATTAGCTTTTAATATTTAAAAAATTAGACTACCTTGATCGGTGTAAACGAAAGTTTCGCATATCGAAAGAGGATTTCCTGGAGGCCCTTCAAGATGAATGCTTACAAAAGCCCCAGGCATTGCGGTGTTGCATGGTAGAAACAGAGGCCTACCCTCTTCTGTTATACAAAATTATTTGATTTAATATCATTCTACACCCATTTTAAACAATTAAACGTAGTTAATAAAATTACATCACCTATATAACCGGTATATCGGTTGCAGATCGGATTCACCCCTAAGTCCGGCCTGTTATTGCCTACTCTTATAACTATAGTGGCTGGCCTATTGTTAGCTACAAAAATATAATTATTAGTGATATAAATTTTTATAAAATATCTTTAAATCTAGCTGTAGAAACTTACAACAGCAAGACGTCCCGAAATCTACCCTCACCAGCTGCACCATGTAAGGTTCTAGTAAATTAACGTACCACCACGGTGTACGTTCCGTTTCGGTCATAGTACACGTTTCGGCATTAAAAAACGTGCTTGTACTACCGTCAACAGCTTTTTGTGGCACACCTTTACCCATAATAGACGATTGCATAGGTGCTTTACCGGCAGCCACATTTAAAACTAGAAAAAGAAAACGTGAATTTTAATGTTAAAAGTCATGAAAAATATATTGCCACGTAAATTTATTTTATAGGTTTATGCGTTGGGTGTATGCCAAAACAACATTACACGCGTAACACAAAGGGACATAAATGGAGCATAAATGCCATAGAAAATTAAAGTGTGGATCATTTCGGTTAAGTAAATCTCATCCACTGTTAACGATGGAAACGGATCTGCGCGTGCAGAATTTTAACCCAGTAAAAATAAAAAGAACTTGGTTTAGTCGATCGAGTGTTGACACTCGAAACTGACTGGATAACAACAAAGGACACTTTTTACTTCACTCTTCCAGTCGATTGAAATAAAACTACATAGAAGGTCAACGGACTCGCACGAGTCAAGAAAATGCAATTTTTATCCAACTAATCGCACCCGTTGGCAGAAAAATACCGGTTGCGCCCGAGGCAATGAGTTAAAATTCCATCGAAATATACCGGAAGGTCTAGTTTCTCTAAGGTCAGACATTCCATCTTTCACTTCCGTTCTCTCATTTCTTACGTCATGGTTCTTCTTCATTTATGATACTATGACGTGACCTTATACGGGTCTACGTTTTCCTTAAACTTCGTAGCATCTCGTGTAAACAAATAAATCTTTTTTTTATGAAGTATTTCATTTTCGTACTCTTATATGCCTCGAATAGCTTGGTTTTTTGGTTAAAATAATATGACACATTTTTGAAGTCATTCAAAAATGTGTCATATGATTTCCAATATGGATTCTTTACTGAAAATAAGGAAATATTTTAATACTTGAGATATTTTTTAATGTCTACCAATATACTTATCATTTATCTGATATAAATTTAATTTTATTAGAAAGTAACTGATATTAATTAATGCAAAACCCGAGTCAATATGGCCTACAATTCGGAGGAAGTTAATGTCAAAAGGCTAAGACACGAAAGGTTCAGCGAACAAGGATATGCTAAAGAACCGTTACGATGGGTCATAACAGAGGTGGAGAAAATGCTAGTCGGTCACCTGAACATTCATTAAACGATTCGTTCGGTTAACGACCTCTTATAATTTTCGGGTTAAACCCAACAATTTAATTCACTAAACTCCTTTCACTGGATTTTTTTATGAGGACTTTAACTTCTGCGTAACTTCTTTAAGAAAGTAATTAATAAGATAATTGAGGAACGGGTTAATACTACAATAAACTGGATTATTATTAGCAATTATGTAAAATAAGTAGGTTGAATTTGTAGTTACTAACAATGGTAAAACTATCGGCGTGATGCTGTGAGTAATCTAATACAGTATCTTAAAACTATAAACGATACTCTTGCAGGTTATTAGGGCTGTTAAAATTATCGCGTACGTGTTGATCGCTGCTTGTCAAAGCGTGAAAAGTACAAATAAACTTGACGTGGGAGGTGAAGTTTATTGCATTCGATGATAGGCGTATCGTTGAACTTTTCATCCAAGATCGATAAGGATTGCTATTGAGAGCCCAGTTTTGAATTACATCAATTTGAAAATCTTCGCTGAAAATTATTTAAAAAAAAAGGAATGGCAACACTCTGCCTACAAATCTTATAGAGTGTTGCCAGACATTTCTTTTCCATATAAAAAAAATTAATATATATGTGTGGCAACACTTCTATACGTACGTAAAGGAGTGTTGCCAGGCAAATAATTTAAGAAATAGAAAAAAAATTAAAAATACTTAATTATTTTATATTAAAATATATATTTTAAAATAAATCATCTTTGGCACGCAATATTAAAACAATATTTTCATTGCATTCTCGTTATATTTCCTTATTCGTAACTTTTATAAGCATGCTTTTATATCCTGATTTTACCCATCATATGGGTACCAGCAATTATACAAGAACTATTATTTTTTTTCATTATTATATGCATTAAAATTAGTGAATTTTCTACGCTAGTTGATATTATTAAATTTAAAGATGGCGACGAACCAGGAAGATCAATTAACACGAATTTCGAATGGAATAAATAACGTTTTAAAATATTTAAGCTATTCGAAGTGAGTTTTTAATGCTAATTTATACAATATTTTAAAGACCTCTTGGAATAGTTTAATTAAACTTGTCAAGTTCAATAATTCTGAAGGTTAATAAAGATCATTAGAGTCTGATATAAATTAATTTGTGATGGAAATTTTAATCATTATACTTCATTAAAATTGTATTTTTAACGCGGGAAAACAAAATTAATTACATTAAATTGATGATAATTATGTATTGCTGGAAAGCCAAATTAAGGCGAATGTTATGCGCGGATCAAAGTTTAACTCGGCAATTAAAAAAAATAGTTTAAAAATGATTCAAAATTAAATTATTAATTTTTAACTATTTATAATTCTTAAAATAAATCCTAACTGTTCGTAACTTGAAGATATTATAGCGAAAAAGATCGTAACAAATATGGAAGAGGTAACCGGTGCAGATTATAGGAGTTACTCGCTCCACTAAACTTCAACTCATCAGTTGGCCTAACAGTAATCGTTTGCAATGTCACGGCCATCTTTGATTTTACTTTTTAGCGCTAGCGGGGTAGTCTTCGCGGTCAAATGAAGAAAGCAGGTAACGTTGCGGAGGTTCGGTCAACGACTCTTCCCGTCGGAAATCACCCTCCGGGTCACGTGATCGACGGTGATTTCCTGTTGCGTAAGAGGACCCCGTTCGATGTAGGTCTCGGGGTATGACCAGCCAAGCAAAAAGACACTAGTCATCTGGATAACAATGCTAAATTTACCTATAATATAAAAAGACGCATTAATTAAATCCGATATCCGTTTCTATTGATTAAATCTTTTGTGTCGCAAACTCGGTTTCAAAGGTCGATAATATTGTTATTGTCCACTAACAGATTTTATTTCAGTTAATAGTCACCATTGTTTATACTTCTTAACCGAATTTCTTTATATATATCTACATTTGCATCACTTCCAATGGCTTCCTGTAAAGAACAATGGGTATTTCCAAGGCTGAAGAACATACTTCCTAGCTACCAACCATGACATAAGCATAGACAATGAACTTGTAGTACTTTTTTACACAAAAAAATCCAGTTTGTTAAAAATTAGATAAACGGTTGGAAGAAAGCAATTTTTCTCTATCCTTGCCAATACCTGTTTCTTATCTATTTTGTATAAGCTTGTATTGAAACTTCATAATATATTCTTTTTAATTGTTAAAATACTCGGTTCCTGTGATGAGACATCAGAAAAATCCATAAGAGTATGATGCAACCATCTTGCTTTTTATTTTCTAGATCATGCAAATTGATTCTCATTACACTCCAGACCATAGAAATTATTAATTTATGATTTAAGATTAATTAAGATTTAAAGAAACTAATTAGAATTTGCTACCCGTACCACGAAAATCCATTGCTTTTTTGCATCGGAGACCTGTAGTTTAATACCTATTGTATCTAAAATTATAGAAACTGATTCTCTGCACCAGTTTCCAACATATATACTTCGTTTTACGTTATGTAACTTACCACAAAAAGGGATTCCGAGGGGAACCCACGTTCCATTTTCGTTACATATTCTCCTGCTGGGTCCTAAGAGTTCGAACCCTCCGTCGCAGGTGTAAGAAGCCACCGTTCCTGGGGTGATGACCTCACTTGAAAAAGCAACACTCGCGTGTGCAGGAGAGCCAGGATACCCGCAAGCATTAGCTAAACGGGAAATGGATAAAGTAAAATCTTAGAGATCTTCAACGTATACCTTAAATAATTAATTAACAATTTTGGCACTGTATTAAATAAATATCAAAGGGATAAGCAAAGGTAAACTTTTAAATAACGTTTAATATTTTACATCATAATATGGATTAATTAATTTAATTTACTTGGTAATTAACTAACAAGTAAGACAATTTAAATTAATTTAATTAAGATCCACTTACCGTATGCCAATAAACATAAATTATATATCCAAATCAGCAAGTGTTTATCCTTCATCGTGTCATTCCACAGAAACAAAACATCGAAACTAATATTCTCTATCGTCTCTCGCTTTATTTTAAACCGCTTCTGACGTCGATACGGAAGCGGGCCAATCAGCAAACATCTTGCAACGACGTCACGCAATCTCTCCCCAACCCACTGACGTTTTTACTTGTTATGAGGCCTGCTTGTATAGGAGGTCAGATCCGGGTAGTGAGTAGCTTCTGTCTCATTACAGCTTTTAGACGTTTTATTTCTCTCATGAATAAAAAAAAAAAAGAGATTATTTTCCTTCTCGTGATTCACTAGATTGCGCGTCGTAGTGGAAATTTTCGTCTTAAGCGTAATAAAAATAAGAAAATAAATAAATAATACTCCTAACCGATTTTGCAATTTAACAGCTATAATTGTTTTGTAACTAATTTTAAAAGTTAAGCACGAGTTATGGCTGAACTGAAACAATGCGTTGTTATTTTCGCGTGATGTAACGTCCTTTTACAACTTCAAAACGTCGTATTATACGATTTACTCCAAATAAAGAAATCGCAGTATTTAAAATAAAAATTGTTTGAATTTTACAAACAATTCTGCTTTACATTATTCAAATTTAAAACATTTCCAATTAACAAAAAAATGTGATTTCATTAAACTATTTACACCATCATTTCTATACCATTATTAGTAACGACGCGCGGCGGGTATTTTCGTCTTGTATATTCGTCAAAATAACTAAAATTAAAACGTTTATAAATACATATGTATTTCCGTATTGTAAGAATTTAAATAATTGTGTAAAAGTGTTATAAATAAAAGGAAAAAGATAGTTGATAGGTCCATAAATAAACCATTCTAAATTTGGCAGAAAAGAATATTCAAATCACGATTAGAACCAAAATTTGAAGTCACGAGAAATTTTTTCCCAGATTCCGCACATCAATTTTAAGATCACCAAAAATACCCGACCCATAACAATACACAATACTCCGTCGACAACGCCCTATGAGTTACAAATAACATTATGTCCTGGATATGAGACCGTGGGGCTGTCCATTGTTACACCATGTCCTTGGATGTGTAACCCATGTTCTTCTCAGACTAGCAATTTTTGTATTGTTAGAAAAAACAGGAGTAATAATTCCTTTTTTTCCCCTGCAAACGAAAGAAATCGTAGAAATAATTGACGTTACAATAAAACAATTCCCGAATCGCGTGTGCGGCGCGAACGTCCGGAGCGGTCGCAACGCGCCTTGTTATACATATGTATAATTCGGCGCGTCAAAAAAGGACGAGGAAATATAAAACTATCATTCTACGTAGAGTTTATTGAGAGATTTTCTTCAAAATCGCTCGACGACGCGATAGTATCGTATAAAATGCGGCGAGAGCGTCGTCTCGTCGCGTTGCTTAACAGACCATTCAATATAGTAATATTGATGATCTGTTAGTCAATGCTACGCGACTGGTTACGATTCAATGGGCGCATTAAGTTTCCCTATGCGTTTTTTCACATATTTGAAAAGTACAAACTCCGTGCGCGGCGAACGTTCACTTGTACTGGGAGTTATTAAAACAATACAAGACTTATCTAATTCTCTTTTTATACTATAAATGATGTTTTAATAACATATAACGATGCTGTAACGAGGCATTAATCTAGAATAATTAAAATCTCCGTATGAATCTTGACGTTGATAAAGTTTCAGTTGGAATCCAACTATTCAAATTAATGGTAAAGTGTATTGAACTTTGTGAATGAAATTAGAAGTCAGTTAATTCTTAATTCTATTCTTATTCATTATCAAACGTTTTAGTGTTATTATATCCGAATGGTAACAAGTTATTTAAAATTCAATTAGACCTACTTTTCTAGAATACAAACAATGAATATATTAATTAAAATTCAAAATGGCGGTGTATCGTATTTATTTAACCTTTTCGTCAAAATCTAAAGAATATTTTTAGTTACTAGAAAATTTTTTTAAAATATAAAGTACGAAATTTGATAAAGTTTCTGGTGAAATATTTTAAGGTTGTGGTATTTTAAGGTATGAAATTTCACGAAACTTATGCGGTAACTATATTTAGAATTTCGTGCTGTTTGTGTACGAAAATTGCTTATAATTCCGATAGCTGGTGCCCTTTTTGTATATTAAATTTCATAAAGTTCCGATGGTTGATGGATTTTTATGGGCATGAAGTTTAATAAAGCGTAAAGGCATAAAATTCTGATATATTTTCTACTGTGAAGCATTACTACAATAAAATTTTTTTGGGCGAGGTTTCGTGTCGGAATCTCAAAAGTATCAAGCCGCAGCATAAAATTTGACATATATATATAAAACTTGATAAACTTGATGAAATTTAATGTAGTTTTTGAGTATGAAATCTGTGAAGCTACTAGATTTGGTGTAAATTTGAAACTACATATGCAAATCTAGATACTACTTCTTAATATACAGCCTTTGGGGTATCGAATCTTGATAAGTGTAAGCCCTTGGGCTTCTGATGATTATGGAACTTCAATTAATTAAATTAAGTAACCTCATTAATATGGCTAGTTCTAAATAATTTTTTCATATTCCAAAAAAATTGTGCTCGTTTGTGCTCGTATCTAAAGGCTATTTTAACACAGATAAAGCCGATTTAACAGATAACGTTCCTGGGGTGATGACCTCACTTGAAAAAGCAACACTCGCGTGTGCAGGAGAGCCAGGATACCCGCAAGCATTAGCTAAACGGGAAATGGATAAAGTAAAATCTTAGAGATCTTCAACGTATACCTTAAATAANGGGCGATAAAAATCTGTCGTCATTTTAATTAAAGATTTTTTACAAAAAATTCATAAGAAGCGATTAAAATCTGTCACCAGTTTAAATTAGAATTTTTTAAAATATAAGAGCAATTAAAATATGACATCACTTTGAAATAGGGCTTTAAAAACTCACAGAAATTTAAATCTGTCACCATTTAGAAATACTTTTCGTTATTTAAATCTAGGGGGCGATTAAGGTAGATCATCATTTAAAATTTTTTTTTTTTTTAAAGTTTAAGAAGTAATTAAAATCTATCTTCATTTTAAAGAAAATTTTATTAAAATTTAGAAGAATAATTAAACTTTTTATCCACTTCGAACTTAAATATTTACGAACAAAATGTGTCGCTATATTAAAATAAGTTATTAAAAAAAAAGTAGAGGGCGATTAAAATTAGTCGCCATTTTGAAATAACGTTTACGATAGGAAACGTGTTTGTGAGTTTTATATATAAACGTGCAGTCCAATGTGTTTATTATTCATTCTCATAGAGATATTTTTAAGTAAGTCGTTCACATTAAATTGTCCCACAAGCCGTATAACCTATTGTAATCGCGTGTTATGTATAGAACAAGTATAATTACTATAAAATTTATAACATCGATCACTCGGTGAGACCCACGTGTACAATATAATGAAATAAAGCGGAAGTTAAATGGCACGCACGAAACTCTTAAAGTTTCTCGAAAATACATTCTCCTACTTGACAGGAATATGTATTTTTTATGTTTATAGCAGTTACGAGACTTAACTGACCCTGACTTTCCCAATAAAAGTACTTCTAATATAAGAACTATCGAGATGAATGAACGGAGAACAATTACATCTCGCCTTAAGGCAGGAAAATAAAAAACCCGAAAGAATAAAAAACAATTTCTAGTTATTAGCCCTATTTCCCCATTGAGTTTACAAAGTAAAGAATGTAATCTACGCCCAATAATTACGTTTGAGTCGATAGACGTAACGTATTGTATCCTTATACGAGGATGCTTTACGTTTTCGGGTTTCTACTGGATATAATATTAAATATATTTACTAATTATGGGATCTAGGAGGAAAATTTACTGGGTTATGTTTAAAAGGGGGGTTTGTATGGGTGTAACAAGGTGGGGAATATGTTTGCCCGTTTTATTTACATCCGTATCCTTTAACTTAGAAATCCGTTTATACCGGTTATTTTTTGGAATTTTTAATAAGTTATACGCTTGACTAATTTTTAAGACTGTTATTCTTTATTTATATTACTTTAATGATACTTCCAAGAGCGATATTATTAAATTCGGTTTTAGGCAATTCTTTAAAGAAAGCATTATGTTATATGTATATACATGCGGAATGATCCATATTCAATTAATCAAGACAACCGAAAAATATATCTGAGAATCTGTAGCAATGTATTATAAGGTTGTAAAATGTTTATTGAATATTGAGAACCTCAAGTACAAGTTTTATTTTATAATTTTATAAATAGAAATTGCATAAAACTTTTTAAATGGTTAATTGACTTTTAGGCCACACTATAACTGTATTACTTTAAGATATTTATTCATATAAAATTTACTTTTTTAGGATGAAATTTATTATTAAGAAGAAAATAAGATTGATTTAAAAGCGGTAGATCCACACTAAAATAGAATTTAGAAGTTATACAAGAAGGAATAATATATAGAAGACAACAGTAAAATCTATAAGCGGTAAGTGTTTAATGTCACTTATTTTAAACAATATTTTGAATAGTTTTTAATGAATCGTGTTAATAAAATGAAATTCGAGAGAATTATTAAAGTAAACAAGCCGTAAACTAAGTCTTAAAACACTAATTTGTCCAAATTTCCCTTTTGGAACAATGATGTTTACAATTGAAACAGGATCTTAGGCTTGTGAGGAGGTAAATCCATAGAAAACACGAACCAAAATAGATTTTCAAGAGAAGTAATTCGAAAGAAAAAGAAAACAAAATCGTTCTCAATGAAAAAATTTTTATCAGTCAAATCTTCAGACATTAATTTATTAAAATTTCCCTCTGACGGTGGGCGGTTTACTATAAAAGCTATAGTTAAATTCGACCGTTGAACTTTCTTTTTATCATCTTCCCATTAAAAATTATTCTTTAAAATTATATAGGCTAACAACAGTTATAAGTAACAACCGCCATTACGGAATTTTTATTTATCTTAAGTCAATTAATATTAATATCAATTATATTCATTAATTTTTACTTGGCGTTTACTGACACTGCTTTTTTCGGATACGGATTTTTATATACTGACCTAAATTCGGCTCCCATTGCCATCCTTTTAATGACGTCACGCAATATGGAAGAATTCATTTCCGGTTGCTCGCATTCTATTTGCCGGAACTAACGAGTAAGCCTTAGTCAAGTGACGTCACTCCTCGCGGAAATAATGTTACATCACAGAGCAATAACCATTAGGTCATCAGCAGTCATCCTAAGGTGGTTTAATATTTTGGTAGAAATTTATAAATTTAATTAGAGAAGGAAGGCAACCCGTGGTGATGTGACCCGTGGGAAAATATTCATCGCGCGTTTGCTTTGCTTTGGTATTTATACCAATTTCTAGTGTATTTGTGATCTCGACAACGTACCCCAAGGTAAAATACAGGCTTACGTCAGTGATGAGGTTTAAAACTACAAAAAAAAAAAAAAAATCCACATTTTATCGGGATGCAGCATCGTATCCAAAAAACTTGAGGGAATTTCCATGGAGAATAATTGATTTGTTCTTCAGTTAATGCCATTTTTAATGCGATATATCGAGAAATTTTCCATAATATCCATTTTATTTGCACATGATTTGTCGTTTCTGCATGGTAAAGTGCATTATAAGACCGTTGAATCGTAAAAGTTGGAATGTCAAGGTTGAGTCAACACGACTGACTAATCTACCAGCAGATGCCATAGAAATAATAGGAACATCCACATAATTAAACCTTTCAGGAAGACTTCCACCGTTTCAAATTTTATTTATTTATTTTCTTGTAGATCATTTACTTTTTTTTTTCTAATTCGATAATAAAATTCCTCATTGACTCGAATTTCTGAGTAGGAACATCCCGAAGCTCAGGAAAATTGAATAATACCAGGAAATTGACGTAGTGTCTGTAAATCACTTTCCTTTTAAATAACGGAGCCATGTTGAGTCCGTAGAATAAATGCTATTGAAGAGGGATAAATTCTTAATTATAGTCTTTTACTATTATTTTAAATTGTGTAATAAAGAGTAAGTGTGTCAAACATCCGTCCAGTGTTGGACAGTGGTTGGCACACTTATCCGTTATTGCATAATTATTTTTATCTCCCTGTCTGTCATGGCGTGAGACTTTGGTCGCATAAATTGGTAACTAAAAACGATACGCTAATGCTGTTATGTTTACAGGATAAGGCCTTTCTAGGCCCTCATTGAGGTTCGAAATCTCTTGCATCTTCCGAAACTCCGTGGATCTTGGAATCGAATTGTTCCGGCGGCATCTTTATTTTTGAGAAATCTTGCGAACAGATTAACGGACGGGCAAATTGGATATAAAATTTGAATTCTCTAGCTGTTAGTGTTCTAGAATTCTAGTTCTGAAGCTTTGAAAATTTCAAATTTAGCGATATTTTTCTGAAAATCATCAGAATGGCATGCGGACAGACTAAATGAATACGAGATCCAAATTTCAAATATGTAATAAAAAATAACATTATTTTTTTAACAAAATACGATTAAAATACTCGAATGTGGGCTATCTTAATCATTATTTAAAGAAAATTTGTATTATTATGCGTACAAAAAAGAATTATAATGGAGCCTCAGTATCCTTAACCCGAATATTTCGATGTACTGTACTTGGAAGTCGTACGTATGAATTCTCTTTCCTTATAGCATCTCACGATTGACTGATTTCAAATATTTGTGCGGTCCTACACACAAAAACAATTATTCGAGTTACTCGTCCTAATGACTTCGGCCATTTTGAATTCGAAATTTTCTGTTAAATTCCGTATTTTTCAATTGAAAAGATAAAGGTACACGCCGAAGTCGAGGATGCTTGAATGCACTTTCGTTTATTAAATAATAGAAGGATCCTCCTCTTTCTTTTTTTTCTATCGTATTTAGAATTCAAATTTGGGTCGGGTGAATGCAAACATCAAGGATGATGAATGCGTCTTTTGAGGTAAATGTCGCGAACTTGTCTATTCATAAAATGGTCGATCTTTCGACTTTTTCCCAATTGAGGACGGACTATTTCGGTATTCCTCTTTATTGTGTATAACTAATTGAAATCAATTTGATTCACATGCTATTGTTTTTTTAGGACTTTTTACCGAGTCAGTAGAACAAATATAATGAGAATGTCCTTCTTAAATTTCAGGACAAAGCTCATAAATATCTACGACTTTTTTTGAATGTAATGAAGATGTCGATGGTTTCGAGTAAAACATCAGCGATATCATAAATATTAAAAAAACCGATTTCATTGTGCTATTTTAGACTAGCGGAATAGTCGGAGATACTGTACATTCTCGCTAATCCGAACTAACTGTTGTACGGAGTTGATCGGATTAGTGAGGTTTTTATACTCTCTTCGTCCTACGGACACCAAGGCCTTTTTGATCAAAACAGGGACATACCACCCCGAAAAATTTGGGATTATTCGATCCCCGGTTCCTGAGTGACAGGCTTACGACTTAACTGTCTCCGCCTATTCCTCGTATTAAATAATTATAATCTGCAACGACTTTGGTTTTTGGGTAGAATAACGGAAAAATGAATAAAATTGGTTCGAATTAGTGAGTGCAGTTTAATGGGAATGTTCGCTTTAAATTTCAGAATACAAAGTTCATAATTTAAAAAACGATGATGTCTATAGTTTTGTAGAAAAATCATCGAAATCGTAACTAAATTATTAAAAGAAATTGATTTCATGGCCCCACTCGTTAAGAAGTAAGCGTAATGAGATTTTCAAAAAATCGAGATCCTAAAATTAAAAAAAAAACACGATGTCGATGGTTTTGAGTAAAAAATCATCGATATCTAAAGTTGTTTTTTTTTAAATTGATTTTGTAGCGCCACTTTAAACTAGCGGAGAAGTGCAAAAACAAAACGTTAAAAGCGGGTACAAAAGGGAGTGGTGATCGATCGGTTTTACAATTAAGGAAAATTAAAATACTTTTCGTTAAGAGAAAGTTTCCAAGCGTGTCTTTTAAAAAAATGGTTTATTTTAAACCGTTCAAAAGCATTAGCTTAATGTTTTACGATGGAAATTCCAGGAAAAATCCGAAACCAATGCCCTATAAATGGATAAGTGGCTACTAAATAATCTTGCGGATAATCATTTTATTTTCTTTTTACTTTCTTATTTTCAAAATGTTTAGTAAATAAATTGAATTTTGAAAGTACAGAAGATATTCCATATAATGAGGAAAGTTTGTTACGCACTTTTCCCAACTTTTAGGTGCTTGAACTTTGTTGTTTCGCAAAGAAAATTGTGATACGCCAAAGATAATTTTGAGTTAAAATCAAAAATTTAATCAAAGATTATCATTTATAGCATTAAAAACGACCGTGAATAAGAAAAGATGGCGAAAACTTGAGGGGGCGGTCGAAGATGACTGATGATGATGATGATTAATCATTAAATTATGAAATGTTATTAGGTTATTTCGAATAAAACTTATATTTATAATTAAATTAAATGATATGTTTTTAATAATTTACGCAATTATCACGGTGATGCGATCAGCATCCGCTATTAAAAATGATGGATGCCCACCGCTTTACCAGGATAATTGATACTTTTTTTGATGGATTTTAACGGTTTAAATTCGTTAAAAGTTAAAAATATAACGGCAAATTGCAACTAGATAATTTCCTTCTGTTATTTAATAATTCGTAGGTATATTGTTTTAACTATTTGATTTTTATCTTGACAATTCGTCACTCCCTTGAATGCGACACGCGCCGTCGTGTCTAATATCAAAATGGCGGATACATTACTAAAATCTGAATCAATAAATTATTCCTTTTTTAAAAATAATACATATTTATTTAAATGAGTTTATTATATTAGAAATTTTATGGTTTATCAATTTTATGCAAATTTCCTGTGCAGCAGCAGCAGCAACCTCACCGCCATTTTTAAATGTAACAGCTTATTGCTTATTCTCAAAGCGGATATTAACTATAATCTCTCATAATACATTCTAACTTTTTATTAAAAATGCAACTTTTTCTTAACAGATATTGGAATAATCATAAACTATACTCCAACGTTACGCGACGCCACGCTTCCGTTTTCAATATGGCGGATGGGCTCTTTATTTAAACTGAAAAATGGCTAGATCACGTAGAAAATTGTCTAAAATTAACGAAAGTTCTAACGTTTAGCGAGATATATTTAATTCTTTTATTAATAACGAGTATAAATTTTCTTCTCACGTTCTAAATTTGGTATCCAAAGTTAGCGGTCGTTAAAGAAACTGTTCCATTTTGTACAGAGGTTATTGTATCCGCCATAATTGAATATAGATAAATTTTTTGGGGTGTACATCATTAAAATTTGCTCCGAGCCATACGATTTAATTTAAAAAAAAGACATTAAAAATATCTTTCCCCTTTATTTATTCTTAGTTTTGCTTGCTTTATTCTTTAAAATAAACCTCGCTCGTTACATAAATATCATTAGCAAACTATTATACTCGAGTGCCATCGATATTAGCGAAGAGGCTCGTATGCAAAATTTAAACACGGCGCCCAAATTAAAGTGCCCGTCTTATCTAAGGCACGAAGATCTCCGGATATTACTGTAAATTATACATTATATAGCACTCGGCGAACGTTAGTATACGATTATCTGTCGGTAACGCTGTACAGTGCTACTCTTTGTTTGGAGGAATTTTTTTGTGTGTTAAAGAAGGCGAATCGTGTCGCTATCGATCGACCTTTCAGATATGTAAATCTTACTGTTTGTGTTTACGTCTGTTCGAAATACAGCAATTGTCTCTTTCCTCTACGCTTGCTGTATTTTTTTAAAATGCTGTTTACTGGGCATTATCGACATCGTCACGCTCGTCTTTTGATGTTAAGAATTTCAAATTGCCTTTATATCGCTTACAAAAAAAGGGTTGAATTTATATCATACCATCTTTCAAAAGAATCTGCGAGAATATGAAAGTCGCGGGTTCGGTACCTTCACGTCTTTTTGTAATGTTTCCCGTTCATTATTGTAATCTCGCGTCCTAGGTCGGTGCTCGATTATTCCGTCGAAACCTCTGAACAGCGGCCATGTTCTGAGGAATTTTTTTATTTTGGTCGTTGTTTAGAAGTTTGTTTATTATTAATTGTTCTTAAGATTGCATTAATATAAATTACTTTCTCCTCGTGTGAAGTATCGTTTCCTCGTAGACAAATATTCTGGTCTATTCACTTTTTAAACCACGTGCTATTAGCGAGCAAAACGTTCTTTCCGGGCGCTCCATTAAAGTAACGCCACCTAGCGTTAAAAACAATCATTAACAGCTTTGTTAAATCACTTGTAACTGTTATAGGCTATCGATGTTATCTATTAATCTATCAATGTAATAGGAATCCACGAGATGGTGAAGAATAGCAGTAACAATCGGGGTGTTCGGGGCATGAAAAAATAATGTTAAATTTCACGTAATGGGCCGTGTCTCATTTACATTGTAAGATTTTGGAGGTTCTTCGATTGTAGAAAGAGTTTTTTTTGGGGGGTTCGTAGTTAAAATAACCAATGCAAGTAGGTAAATGTGAGTTTTAAGCAGCGCTTAAGAACAAATCGAGTTATAAATCTTGACACTTTCCGACTAAGCTTCACTGGGTCATACTACGAAGATTAGTCGAAATGGTACACTTACGTGAAAGGTACACCTCATTTTATATCCATTCAAGACCCAACGAGAAATGTTTCTTGCACATTTGAAGTATAAAAATTTGTGTCACTGTCAATAATAGGTGAAAAGTAAATTGGACCTTTCTGACAGTCTCTCACCCGCCCCTGGCATACTCGACCCAACTGCACCTTACATTTTTAAAATATTAACTATTTCTTAACAATGCGAATGGTTATTATTATTATTTATAGCATAATACAATGTTATATGATTGTTTTTACAATATTTGACAGTTACATAAAGGGTTAAACACAAAATACTTGTTTGTGATGTCCCAAAAATAGATATAAATTTTAAACTTTGAGCAATAGTTCATAACATAAATTGACGAAAATTGTTTTAATATGAAATAGAACTGCCATTTTGTATAATAAGTTTAAAATGCGATTAGGCATTGATTTAATTAAATTGTGTAAGATTTGTGGATCCATTTGAAACCAGCGCCCAATGATTTCTTGTTTTTAAGCTCTGAAACTGTCGTAAAATGCTTGTTATTAGCATAAATTTTCTGAACAAGAATGCCCCCACAAGTCCTCAATCGGATTTATGTCCGGGTTTCTTGCCGGCCACTTAGTTGTCGAGTGTGAACGATGAATACTGGGGTCCTCCAATTTCTTTTCCAATAGGTTTTAAATACCTATTGGAAACCATTAAAGCCAAAGCAGCCCCACAGCATAACAGAATCGCCACCCTTTCGCCTCCTAAAAAACTGCACTCTTCTTTCCTAATATCGTGCCAGTAATTAGGCTGTCCAAATTAAATTTCTTTTTTATCACTGAAAAGAACTGAGGAGCCATTGGTCATTCCACAGCGTGTGATCTTTAGCCCACTGTATTCTTGCCAATTTGTGTTGTTTTGTTAGCGGTGTTTTTTTTTATCACGGCAGCAATTTTCATGTGTGGAACTGCTGGAAATCTTCGACGAACAGTGTATTTTGATATTTTAAATTCAAAATACACTGACAAACTAATTTATCTGTTGTAATGTAAGAAACACAATTCGATTATCATCCCTTTGAAGTGTGATTTTGGGTCTTCCCGATCGATGTTCCCAAAATTTTATAAATTTCAGTAGAAGATCTGTTCATTAAAACAGTAATTTCCTTGACACGACGGCCTTCTGCTTTTAATTTCCATATTCATGCAATTTCTTCCATACGAAACTCTTTCGTGTGGCACTTTGGAAAGTTTTGATTTAATATTCAAATTATTACTTGACGTTATTTATTATTATTATTATCGTAATTTTAAGTTTCTTATGCATGAAATTTTACAATTCTGTTTTATAATCTATACTTTTGGGACAGCCAAAAATATATCTTTGTTGTTAAATCATTTACATTTCTCGTAAATTCCTAACAATTCTGAAAAGTAGTAAAATGTCGATTATCTAAACTTTGGGATGCTCTGTATTTATATTTGTTATATATACTTTAGCAGGGGGAAAGTATGCCGATCGGTCAAAAAATGACCTCCTAAGATCTTTACATTTTTGGACTCGGGGGGTCCTCGAAACGTCGAGAAATGCAAAAACATTCGGGTGTTTTTTTTGCCTATATATATGGTTTATTCATTTAAGGCAATGCTCACATGGGTGATCTGCCGAGGGGAAGGTCTTTTATGGGAAACTGGCTCTATTTAGGCGTTATTAACGTGAAGAAAACCCGGGAAACTCCACGTAGTTGGCGAGACGTAAACCCACGACCAGTGTTTGGTGGTTTTATCCACTCGACCGCTGGTGGGGGTTTCTGTATATATGGGGCCCATCAGTGGCCAAGCTGTTTCGTTCCCTGAACACTGGGAATTCGGTCGTGGGTTCGAGCCTGGCCAGGACGGGCTGGCCACGTGAAGTTTTGCGGGTTTTCTCCACGTCTGTAACGCCTGAATAGTGGCCAGTTACCCTTAAAAAGACCTCCCGAAAGGCACCCCCTAGGCAGATCGTCCAAGTGTTTCGTTGCCATAACTTAACTAAACGAACAAACAAACTGTATGTATGGATGTTAGTGTGTAGAAGGGGAGCACGATTTGTTCACCCGGTTTGAAGCTGGATAACTCCCGTGCTTTTTGTCGAAAATTTCTAAAATTTTGCAAGATTTGTGTAGTAGGGAGATTGATGCTGTTAAATTTTAGTTGGTAAAGGTCGAGGGGGTGAGAAGATAAAGGGAATCGTGCGTCGTATCTCGAGTTGTGTCGGACTTAATGACGATTTTACTCGTTATTAGCATTTATAATTTTTTAAAATAAAACCCGTCCTATCCGCAAAATTAATCTTTTTGCCGTTTAAAATATAGTAACAGATGGCGCCGCCAAAATTTTAAACGTTGCCGGGAAAGTTAAGCACCTCGTTGCTGAATTTAAAGAAAAAAAAAAAAAGGGTAACGGCAGACAAAATTAAGCAAAAGTTTATTTTTCGTAAGTGTGCACGGTATGCATCAGCAACGTATAACAGAAGGTTGTCTACACTGGCACGCCATGCCGCTAGCTTTTGTTTCTGCCAATTGGTGCAGTCGAATTGTAAGTTATTGGTTCCGATTAAGGGTTTTCCCCCCTAAGCTGGTTAGAGAAACAAACTTTGCAACACAGTGCAAGGTTTAATAACTAAAATTTTGGACCTTTAGTGTTGAATTATATCCAATAGATGGAATTGCCACGTGGGAATACGCATTTTTATTACCTCTTGCACGTGAACTCGAGAAAACAAAGGAATGCTATAAGTGTCCGAGATTTGTGCCACGTGACACAATAATACAACCGCGCGATAAGCTGCGCTTAAAAACAAATCGAGAGCACTATACGAGTATGTTTGTACGAAGCTCAATTATCGGCGGAAATTCACGTTAGCACGAAAGCTAATGGTGGCATCCATTAAGTTTCTATCTCGAGATGAGTGAAGATTAAGAAACGAAATTTGGTACGGTAGCCTGTATATAAGGGGCACTGATACTATTAAATTTTGGTGGTTAAAGGTCGAGAGGATGATCGCGTGGAGTTGGACTTAATTTAGATTTTAATTATTAGCATTTACAGTTTATTGTAGAACTGGTCTCTATCCTCAAAATTAAGCGTTTTGCCATTTTATAATTAAAAATATAGAAAATTTTTATAACAAAATTTCATAACAGATGTCGCCACGCGCAGTTTTTACATTATTAATCGTTATTTTTAAAATGAAATTTCTTAACAGCCGGTAAAGTTACGCAACTCGTTGCTAGATTTTTCTAGAAACTAGAACCCGTAGATACAGACAAGTAAAATTTCAATTACCGTAAACGTATTTTAAATTGCTTTTTTGGTTCGTGCTAATTCCGACAACGATAAACAGATTCATTCAATGTGTATATAGTTCCCACTTACTGGTCTGCAATTTTAATTGCTCGTTATACATTACGTTACATTTTAATCCTTTGAAGCAGAATTGTAATTAATATATAGGCTATATATATATATATATATTTTTTTTTTGCAAAAGTGAGTCAAATATACTTTATACACTGTAGTTTTAAAACTTATATGCAGTAATTGTACGTTTTTTTTAATGAATAAGCCATTGGACAAATAAATCCCAATCTGTGTCAATGATACAAAAGCACATATCACGTAGATGAATGCATACCAGCAGTTGAATTGGTTGGGGAATTAGAAAATCTACTTTTAAAAGAATGCATAGTTTGTCTGTTGTTTGTGTGACTTGGCATGACATTTGATTGTCAATGTTCCTTTGCATTGTTTTCAGCATTTTTTCATGCATGTTGTGTGGTAAGTGGTTGCTCTTTTACTGTCGATCTTCTCTCCTCCATTTTTGAGGTGTGACAGGTATCCTTCTCGTTTGAAAAGGTTCCGATAAGTCCTAGTAGGACAGATTTCCTCGAGCTGATCGACTTCGTTTCTGAATTTGGGTTGAAGTTTTGTCAAATAACGAATTATTTTAGATTTCCTGCCCATTTTGATAGTTACCTTCTTGTCTGCAAAGTTCACTCCGTCCAGAAATTTCTTGTAAATCTACACAATGTTTGGGCACTTTTATTTTCTCTTTCTTTCCTTTATCAACCTTTGATGTCTTTTTGCATCCAAATCATATTATATAACAATGCATCAACTTTCCCTAATGAAAGTTTAACTTGTCTAATACACTATTTACTTGTTCCTGAACTTGTGGTGGACCTCATTGAAGGTGATTTAAGTTAAAGAATGCAATGCAAATGAAACCAACTGGCTTGAAAATTACAGTGCAAAAGGGATATAATGCTGTAATCTGAATAAATTCTGTTCTTTTCTCTCCAAAAGCAAAGAGAATCATGGATGAGTTTATCTGTAGTTCTTTTCAGGTTAGCAGGCAAGATGAGACAATGGTAAGACAGTCCGGTCCCCATATAAGTGTTACAAGCACACAGAAAACTCCACACGTAACCCTTTCTCACTCTCTTCATATACAATCTCGCAACATAATTAGCTAAGTTTGCTATATTTGGTCGTTTGTTTTGTATGAAAAAATCAGAGCAGATTGGTTTTTGTATTTGTCTCAACAGTATAATATCAAAAAGTGTGCAGGTAGTCTTTCCGTAAGGAAGTTGTAATGTTGGCTAGCAATTAAAAGAAACTATTATTCTTTAAACAATAAATTGGACAGACCAAATTTATTAACCGAATGCATCATGAGTAAATAATATACAATGATGTACAATGAGCAGACAACATAATGGAATAATGAATTTGTGGGTGAAGTTAAATTAACCAAGACCTGTACTTTGTTCCGACAATTCTGTCCTCATATTTTTTTAAAGGAAAAAAAAAGGAATGTTTGATATTTAGTCACTCAAGGAATCCATTTTTGTAACAATCTCTATAAATGAATGTTAAGAATCTGCAAGTGCTGGGTTGGAAACTAAAGACTGGGGCATGCTTTGATATGGGCACAAAACTCCTCGTCTACTATTTCTTTAAGGTTTACGTGGATTGATTTTTACATAAACTACTTTGGACAGTAAATAATCCTGAGAATCAGGCTGAGTCCAGCCGGTAATAAAAAAAATTTTTATAATCATATAATAATAATTATATATATATATATTTACTGTGTGTATATATATATATGAAATTGTCATCTACGTATATAAATTTTATAGATATTCCATGTACAAAATGGTCCTAATCAATCCCAACTTTGATCGGATTCGACTAATTCGTCCTCCTCTTCGTCGTCGTCTTCCTCCGAGAAGGTAAACTGTTCTTTTTTTAGATGCACTAGATGCTTTGACCTTCCGTTCTTCGCCAGATTGTTAGGGTCCAGTTCTTTCCTGTGTTCGTAAATTAATGGAAATATGTGCTCGATCGCCGCCTGTACGTTTGCCACATTGCGTGCTGTAAAAGAAAATAATTAATGGAATAATAGATTTAAAGCTTTCTTAATGAAATAATAAAACTTTTATCTTTTCCCTTTTATAATTGGCTATGGTCATATGATGATGATATATAAATACGTCATCATCATCATTTTTTGGTCAAAGTTTTGGTCTGCAATTTTAAAATTGCAGACCTATAGGTTCCCACTCGCATCTATCTGTTTGGCTATCCATCCCAAAAGTCAAGACCAGATAAGGAAAGCTTAAGAGCCAGAGGCCCTGATGAACTATATAAGACCTTCCAGTTTGAACTGGAAGTTCTTATATAGTTCACTGGAATTTCTGGCTCATGTTATTTCAATTCAAAAAAATTTTCTCCAGAACAGAATTAGATAATGACTGGCACAACTCTTGTTAATTAACGTGAAAAGTATGATTAGTAGTGTCTTGCCCCTGTATAAGTAGAGAGCATTGTGCATCGAGATCTAAAAAATTGCAGCCCAGCATTGTGATGATATCACAATAAATAGTTGCTTGTTAAAACTCGAAGTAGAATTTTTGTCACCTAGCTACAGCGAATCGATACACATTAAAGATCTAGCGCACACAAAAAATGTTTGACACAAAAACAGAATGGCATAAATATTTATTCACACAGTCATGCAACAACTTCAAAGATCGCATTAATTTTTGCAAATAGGAGACAAAAATTTGGTTATAAGGTTACAGTCTAAATTAGAGATGCCACGAATATTCGGCTACTTTTTTTAATATTCAGTATTTGGCCAAATGTTGCATACTATCCAGCCGAATACCAAATCATAAAAAAAAAAATGCACATATTACTCAAAAACGTATTTATTTTAATCACAAATTATTACATTTAATACTTAAAATCTATCAGTGGTAAGTTGTGATGAATGAAAACAATTTTTTCAGCATTTGTTGATAGCAAACGATAGCGCTTTTCCTCATGAACTATACCTGCTTCTGAAAATAGCCTCTCACTATATACACTACTGCCGGGAGACGATAGATAAATCTTAGCAAATTCTGTCAGGTTTGGATACTGTTTTGCGTTTGCTGACCACCATTTGTAAAGGTCTGCCGTCCGATGTAGACGAACAGTTTTCATATAAAGTGATACAAACAGTGATATTTTTTAGTAATAAGGACTATTAGTAACACAATTTGATGTAACAATGAACAAATAATGCATGTTGTGACACAATCTACTCGCAAATTAAAACAAATGCGCCCGCAGTGTCGCTACTGCAATGAGATAGGTTACGACCTGTCACCCGTGAAATGAATAGTGATTTTGCCGAATATTCGGTATTCGGCAAAATCACTATTCATGGCATCACTAGTCCAAATTACCAAATTTTTGTTTTTGCAATCATTTGACTGACTAATATTGCTCTAAAAAATTTTTCTTCACCTAAATACACAATAAAAGCAGTATATTTCATTATTAATTTGGGTCATTTTCCTTTTAAGCTTACTTTCTGAATATTATGAGAATTCTGGCTGCATGTAGCTTGCTTGCATCCAATAATGACTTTTACAACCAAGATGTGAAAAAGTGGATTATATCTAAAGACATTTTTCATATAGTTGCATCTATCTATTATAACTATACTTAAATGTGCAACTATGATGAATGATAACAGAAGCATAAAGTCCAGGACACTGAAGTTTGACTGTACAAAATTTCATTGGCTCTAATCCAATGCAAATTCAGAATAGAGATATACTTTGTTTCAGGAACCAGGAACTAAAACGTGTCTTTCAATAAAGTGGAAATCTGGTAACTGAATGAAACAGTCTAACATATGTTGGAAATTAGGTCTCTATGCATTTTGGGACATTACTAACTGGAGTAAGGATTTAAAGAAAGCAAATTCAAAATGCAGTGAAGTGTTAAATGGGGAAATCCGAAAACAGATTGTTGTTAGAGCATTCAGAATACAAAACTGTACTGGATGTACAATTTCTGAGGATTGCCTTGTGCAATAATAGGTTATGTGGCACCTGCTGACATCTTGATGGATGCTACAGCATTGTGTATAGGTATTCTCTGTCACATCAATAACTGAAAAATGGATGAGGAAAATGTTTTGCAATGTACATTGCACCACTACCTAGCCAATTTGGATTCTATCTGCATTATGCTAAGCAAAAACTGCAATAATGATGTTAAATACTTGATTTTTGGTGAGAATGTTTTTTGATAAGTCCCATCTTGGGTGAGATTACAGGTGCAGCTGTTAAACTGCACCTGCAAACGCCCCAAAATGGAACCTACAAAAGTGGAGACATGTAATTTGGTTACATAAATTGGTATTCTGAATATTGTATGGTTCAACTGATCAGAGTCATCCTACAGAAATACAAGACCGACTATCTGTTGTGTTATCAAAGATCTGTTCAAAAACCAGTGCCAACAATTGTTTGGGGCCATATGCCAGCTTGTAGCATCAGTCATTTTTGTACCTGTCATGGCACTATCAAAGTTAATAATTACATTGAAATTTTGCAAAAAGAATTTCTGCTATTCCAGTACCTATCATTTCTTTGGTACAATGATATGCCACCATGCAAAACTAAAGGGAGTTGTGGAAAAACAGAATTAGGATGCCATACCTGTCTACAGTTGGTCCTTGATCCAAACCAAGAATGCGTGGCAAATTTTGAAGCATAAACATCACTAGACAACATCCATGCATCAAGGAATAGTGAGAATGTTTCCTACTGGAAGAATGGCAGAAATTTGTGGCAGACAAAATGTGTCAATGAATACTTTGTAGATCTGGGGCCATATTCTGGTCACCATCTCTTGTTTCTCACAAGCTGGTTGCTGATTGGCTAATCATTTGGATTAACCAATCCGTGACCGACTTGTGAGAGACGAGAGACGGTGACCAGAATACGACCCCTGATGTCTTCGATCACTCATCAGAAAAAAGGGGATATGACAAAATTGCAAACAACAAGTAACTGGTCAGAATTTGTTTTACTCGGTTCTTGGATTTCCAATTTCTTTTGAGAATTGGCAATCTAATAAATATATACATATTTCATCCAAAGTTACTTATGATTTTCACTTGTCTATATTATTATGAAGTTCAGCTAGGTAAATTTCATTGGATGTAACTTGTAGACATAAAAATACCACTAAGTCAAGGAGAGTGAATAGTCAGAACAAAAATAGAACTTGTGAGGAGTCAGACTTTATATAGAACTTGCAAGGCATTTTTACAATGTTCAAAGAGATTTTAAATACATAAGTTATTACTTGAAATGTTATTAGATCCTTCCTTCCATATTTCCAAAAGTCATAATTAATCAAAAGAATTGAAAAATTATATTTTATTTACTAACTCAAATGTTTCTTGCCTTAGTGAGGAAAATAATTATAAATCAAAGTTTCTATTACTGTTTGGCATGCATACACTCCCAGAATTGTGCTGGGGGTGTACTAAATCCTTGATTTAACATACACCCCAGCACAATGTGAGAGAAATGTGATTTATTTTATTACTTTACATTGAACAAAGTTACTAAAAATTTACCAAAAATCAGTACTGGGAATACTATAAAAGAAACGAAGAAACCATACACTAAATTCCAGCAATATTTACTTCAAAATCATGGTTTTGACCTTAATAAGCCGCACCACAAAATTAACCATTTAATTGTGTACTCCAAATACCAAACATCTTGACTGCCATTCACTTTTTCAGTTTCACTGTTCGGTATTCTTTAAATAAACACGTGAATGTGATTTATCCTGACATATATCAAAGTTACTTTATTTTCTATGTTCATACAAGAGAAAATAGAATAATTTTCTAACAAAAACTGCTACTGAAAGTAACACTTTAATTTTTCAGAAAAAATGAAACAAGTAGTTTATATCTAACCATATTCAACTTCATGCTTTTCGTGTACATTGTTGAATTAAACTAACATTGAAAAATTGCATAAGCTTGCAGAATGATTTTTGTCACTTACATACATCACGTAGAAAAAATCTGAAAGCTTAACAAATGGATTTCACATATACTGATTACAACAACAAACTCCGTAGGTTTACAATTTGTTTGATACTTTTCATACCACAAGATTGAGCCATTTTTGGACAGGTTGTTGAACATACGTTGAAGTCCAGAAAATAGTGCCCAATAGACTATGTACTTTTTTTCAAACAGATGTAACATTAGTGTTACATCTGTTTGACTATTGCTGTCATCATCTATTGAGCTTCTTATCACTGGTCAATCGATGGGAATGGAGATCTCGGCTCCTCTAGGATAATGTTTGCCCTCATACAAGCTCAAAGTCCCATTTTAAGAAATTTGATCTGTCTTTTGTATTTTCCCAAATATAGCATCATCCAATTATCCCCCTTTTTTATTCCCTGATAGATTATTCAGTAAAGTGAGCACTAGAATAATCTATCAGGGAATAAAAAAAGGGAAGATAATTGGATGATGTTATATTTGGGAAAATACAAAACTGGCCAAATTTCTTAAAATGTGACTTTAGGGCATGTTCAGGATCACAGGGATTGATTGATCGGTGGTAAGAAGCTCGTAACAGATGATGCCAGCTGTAGCATGACAGATATGCATGATTTTCTGTCAATGAATTCTGGGCTTTGGTATTTATGGTACAGATTCACTGGATGACAACTAGTGATATGCTTTCTTGGTGTTTCTATAGACTGTACATTTAACAACCTGTGAAACACTACATAATTTTTTGGTGAAAAGCAACAAACTTTAAGCCTTGGGAGTTTGTTACTGAAAGTCACTATGTGGAACTCTCCTAGGTGATATAATTACAATAAAATTTCATATTTGGCTAATAGATAAGTTTCTGTCAAGTTCTTGGTCAAGCAATTGAAATTAAATATAGATGATGACAAATAAGTTTTATACACTTGGTTAACTTAGATAAATTTTCTTCTTTGTCTCATCAACATTATCTACAGTACTTTTAATTTTAATAAAACACAACTGTTAGTATAATTCCATATCTTGTAATCATTATACTGTATTTTAAATAATTCAAGTATCTAAAAGTATTCCACTTTAGATCATACAAGACAAAACTGTTAGCAATAGCTCAATAAAAGTTAGTTGGCACACTTATGGTGACATGGGAAAACTATGAACAGCATTTCAAAAATAGTTCAAATTTTTGTTGCTGGAGTCTACAATGGCAACACTATTGCAACAGCATCAATGATTCTGTCTGATGTGCTTTCCTTCACCCTCGGTCACACATCCCACTGAAATTATTGCATTAGAAACAACCAAGTGTAACATATCAGCCCTACTCGTTTCTCGTTCCAATAAATCTGCAACTCCGTCCATATAAACCTTGCTTTTCGAACAGCTCCATAACCAGAAGTCACAAGATATGAGGTTGAACAAGTGAGCAGGCTACTGCATTGGAAAAGACTGACTGATTACCCTTTCATGCCAAATATGTTAGACAGTGTCTCTCACAATGACTGTGATATGGATTCTTATAAACATGATGTTATTCAAACCTCTCCTCTGTCATAGTTTAGGTACAACAAAAATTTTCAGTACATCTTTATAATGCTGCTGCAACAATAGTATTATAGACCTGTAGCAGCAAAAATTGTAACTATTTTAGAAACTCTGAGATAGATCGATAAAATTTTCTAGCATATTTATCTTGACACAGGAAAACTATGAACAAACAGTATTGTTTCCAGTGGTTTAAAGTGATACAGGGTGTTTATAATTAAAGTATATTTAATGTTTTATTGTGTTGGCAAGTTTATATTTCAAGCATATTTGAATAAATATATTAACTAATTCCCACATTTTTTTAGCAATGCCTGGTACATTTTAGATAGAGAATCACTGCTCTAAGTGACATGCATTTACAGCTTTTAAAGAATGGCACAAAACCTTAAAGCAAAGCTGACAAGATTGGACAAAAGACAAGTGCAAAATGTATTTTATCTTTTATAAAAAATAAAAATATTTTTCTCACCTGTTACTGTGATGCTTCCTGTAGAAAATATTTTTAAGGTAGCCTTTAAATCACTAATTCTATAAGTAACGCCTGGATGCAATTCTGGTTCATAACTAGAAATGACAACAACAAAAATATTTGTGAAAAACAAGATGATTTCTCATCATTTTTATTTTAATCAAGAGAGTTTGCATTTATGAAAAAAGGGAATGGGGATTATGAGAGACCACATTTGAGAGAATTTTAAATAGCTTCACCTGCTTTGATAGTTCTTGTATTGGAGATTCCATATAAACAACCAAATGCATCTGGAATCTCAAAATGATGATCAGGAAACATATAGTTTAGATAATGAGAAAAGACAGATGTAAATCCAAATTGGATGATGATGAAGATAGTGTAAATTTGTTATTAATATGCTATAAAATTATGTACAGAATCTATTGGAGGATCAGAAATGATTGGCTCTATATAATAGTAATAATAAAGGTATTTTAGATGGATAGTAATATGTTAACATTTATTAAGAACGTTGTAAACTATAACTGTTTGGGAAATGAAGTGTCTTGAAATTCTCCCATTTATATTAAATTTTAGCTAGTTATTACAATATAGAAGTAATTCTATAAAATTTAATAATTGTTGAAATGAAATCTATCAATAATATATAAATTAACTATACATATATAAATAAACATCCAATGATCGCCTAAATGATTGGGCTACAATTCGACTAATTCAAATAATTAATACAAAGTAATAAAGTAATTTACCACTAGAGATAGGCATTAGGTGCCATCTCTTAACCAAATTAATAATTATAATTTTAATAATTTGTTAATTAACTTAGAACCTTCTGGAACCTTAACAAATTATTATTATTAATTTAGTTAAGAGATGGCACCTAACACCTACCTCTAGTGGTAAATTACTTTGTATTAATTATTTGAATTAGCTGAATTGTAGCCAGATCATTTAGGTCAGCGCTGTCCAACTTATCATAGCCTGTGGGCCATATTTTCTTCACCAAACATTTCAGGGGCCAAGAAGGTTGATAAACCACATGACATTTGCATAGTGCTACGGTTCAGTAAGCACTAATTGGTCAGCAAGTCCGGTGTTGATGCTATAAAAAGACGACAGTTCGACACACCGGATATACGTCACTCTCGTCTAAGTTCGACTTGGGAATTTTTTTGTTCAATAATAAATGTGAATTCTTCTTCCTGGAAAAAATAAGACATTCCCTGAAAATAAGACCTAGCGCATTTTTCAGAGCAAAAATTAATATAAGACACTCTTATTTTCGGGGAAACACGGTAGTAAAATAATTGTAATATTAATAATAATAATTTAGTAACATAAATTTATTCATAGTAAAATGTACTCGCGGGCCGTAAAAATTATTTGGCGGGCCGCCAGTTGGACAGCGCCGATTTAGGTGATTGTTGGATGTTTATTTATATACTCATCAGGCTTTGTGATGTTATATTTATATACATATATATTTGAAACAAAATAAAAATAAAATACATAATTAACAGTCTGTTAATTTTAAAATGCTATTTATATGTAATTAAATTAAATAATCAAATATTTTTTGGAAAAAAATAACCTGTTATTTTAATTTAGATCATACACTTGTTTATTACAGTTTCAGAACTATGGTGAGACATAAGCAACAATACATATAGAGAACTTTTCTGTGAAATTAACTTTATATGTAAAATTAAGTATATATGAGAACTAACTAATTTGTAAATTTTTTAACATGTGCATTTGGAAAACCTACTTTATTACATAACAGAATTCTGTATTAACAGACACCCCCTTGCCCAAATTAAACTGTTAAATTGAGGTTTTACTGCAATTCAAAAGTTCTTTGTTCAATTAACACAATGTCTTTTGATTACAATAATGATATTAAATGAGTCATGTTTATTTAAATACTGAAATTATTGTACATTAACTGTTCAAATTTTTATTTATGTGCATTGATATATTTGTTTAAATGAAACATTGTTGTTCTATTATCTAGGATTTTCGGTGATATAAAGTTATCTTACATTAATGGTTTTTATTTCAATGTTCTCACTGATCACAGTAACTAATACTTCATACTGATTCAGACATTTTATCCCATCACTTGTCTCTGTGTGGATACAGATGTGGACATAAAAAAACTGATATTGCCTTACTTAAGCCTCAACTTTTGACAAGTTAAAATTAAACTGTCAAATCAAATAATAGATCATATGAACTGATTATGGAAACAACAGCTATTGTTAACTACAGCTTACATCAGTTTTTGTATCAACTAACCCTTAATTTTAGGCTATTAGCTGATCATTGCTAATTATTGTTTGCCATGTTAAGCCAATCCAAGCCTTATGGGATGTAGACTTGGATTGGGTGGCTAATATTAGAATCTAAATGGCTCAACTGCATACAATTTGTTTTGTCAATTTTTTCATTTGCCTGTATTCTTACAAAATTTCTTGGAAACTAAACCAAATATCATTTTAAATTGTTTCAGTGAAGAATAAACTAGAAGAGAAGTATTTGCTTTAAACTGAGTAATTTGTTATGATCATAATAAATTTTTAAAATTTATTAAATAACAATATTTACCTTGCAAATTTTCTATGTTTCTGGGAAAAATTAACAATGTGAATACCAAAAGGCATGATACAAGTTCCTAATACATTTACGACTCTAAAGTTGGTGAAACGCACTTGAAAACCTAATTTCTGTAACACTCGAGCATATTTTCTTGCTGCAACCTTCGACATCTCTTCACTAAAATAAAAATCATTATTATTTAATTCAAAATAAAAAATATGTACTTCTTTTCAACAAGAAAAATGATTATATTTAAATAATTAAGCATAAATTAATGCATTAAAAAATTACACTTGAAGCAACTATTTTTCTGAAAAAAACTATCATCTGGAATATCTTATGTAATGGTTTGGTTAATTGATTTTCTAATTTCCAGCATCATCACACAATGATTCTATGGCTAATCTCAGTTTACCCCAGGAAGTCTAACTAGCAGCGACACTACAAATCCCACTACTGCTTGGACTCACTTCACATGAGAAAAATTGTACTAGCCACAGTTATTGTGTGATGTTGCCACAGGTAAAGGGTGGAGAAAATATATTAATCTGAATTTTGTGAAAAATTATAGATAAACCTGATTCTTCTGGCAACGGGATAATGCTACATAGTTCATTACACAGCTTACATAGACAATGCTTCATTAAACAACCAAAATTATAAATATCACTAAGACCAAGATCTAGGTTTAGAGAGGATGAGGAATACAATTTATCATCCCAAATCATAAAATTTTGTATAACATTTTATATATGGTATGTAGGAACCATCTGTCTTAGAGCAAAACTATTTTGTTTTTAATCAAATTGGAGTGCATTTTGTAAGATTTGCCATCAACTGCAAAATCAAATGGACCATATGTTGATACTTAGGGATGTGAATAATGTCTCCCAAAGTACATTGATGATAATGCTGATAGTTGATAAACCATAACAACATTTCCATTGTTTGCTGGCAGTTTTAAATTTGTGTACACACACACACACACACAAAATGTATTATGTGATAATTCAATTAGACACACTTTCTGTTGAAAAATTATCATACAGAATTGTGTATTTTGCAAACGAATTTAACATCCAACTTGCTGGTTCCTCTTGAAAATATAGACATCTGTGAATAAAATTTGTTGGATGTTTTTATTAAAATTTTGCTATTGGATTTTAAAGATTCTTGATTGTTTGGAATTAAATTCTTTTTGGAACTCACCTTTATATTGTTACTGGTGAAATTGTATAATCAACTTCATGGTTTTACTGTCATTTCTAGAAAATTTAATAGTATCATATAAAAAAAACCTTCTAGACAAGTTACATAACTAAAATAATGCATTAGCTTTTGCTTTATTTGGAGTCAATGTAGTCACTCATCATTCAAAGACCATACTGTTTTAAAACTTGTAATTCATTATGCCAGTGGTGCCCAAATTTTTCAACTGGCTGACCAAATTGCTTACAAACCATACATAGACAGGTCATGGATATTTTGTATATACCATAATATTAACCCCTTAAGCCCATAACCCGAGATATCTCGGGCAAGTTACATAACGTTACATAAAATGAGGTCCTTAAGGCCATTTTTGAAATTTTTTTTTTTTTTGAATTTTTGGAATGTTTTTTAGGTCCCGAAATTTTTTCAAAATTTTTTTCCCGCGCAAAAAAATTTTATCGCGATTTTAATGAGCCTATGTGAAGGCTCGATTAAGGCTTAATTGTTTTTTAATGGGAGTTTTTTATCAAAATTATTTCATGGTTTTTAAGTTGTAGCGCACGGATTTTCATTCAGTAAAGTTATTTAAAGTTAGTTTCTGATGTCAAAAACGACCTCCGATGGTTTTTTAATTTTTTTAATTAATATATTTTTATAAATATATAATTAATTAATTAGGGGGGGTCGGAAATCGCAATAAAATTTTGAATTTTTTAAAAATATTTAAAAATTTCTGTGTCGCTTATAGTCACCCTACTTTAAACCCTTGTCCTCCCGAGACGTCTATGAGAATGTCCCGGGAAATCGGACTCCAGCTGTGTTCAAGGTCACCCAGCTGTGTAAACAATGACTCATCGGTGTTACATTTCACAGACAGGCGAAACAAAGGAAAATAAAATTTAAAGCTTTTTCTTCAAAATAAACGCATTTCTTTCGTTTTTTTTCTGTTTTAAGTATTTTTTACGTTTAATTGAAATCTATATAAAAAATGTCAATGTCCTTAAGGAGTTAAAAATGGGTCTATTTCTATCATTGATAAGTGACATATCAAATTATGTTTATGGACCAGATAAAGCTGTGTTTCAAGTCAGATTTGGCCTGGAAGCCATAGTTTGGGCACCATCACTTTATACCATAAAATTGAAGCTGTTTATCCACTCCTCAATAATAACAATTCACACATAATTCACTAAGATAGTTCACAACAGTTCACTAAATGATGGTGAATTAGCATTAAAAAAAAGAAATTATCAAAGACCAAAAATGAAACTCAGTCCCAATTTATTAGAAGAACTGATTCAAACTATTAAATGTTGCTATCTACGTGTTACGGCCTTCATCTAAATCAAACCGTTTAAAGTTATTCACTTCTTACTTTTCCTATTTATTTGTAATTTAAAAATTTTTTGCTAGGTGAAACTAATATATAACAATGCAGTAAGTTTCAAAACTAGAAAACAGGTATCAATCATAGCTATTTATTTAAAGATATCATCTTCAGAACTTGTCAAACGTCAAAAATATTACAGGAAAATTGTTTTACTAGGGCATCAAATTTGAGTATTTTCAGACTTTGAAGATGCCATTATCATAATGACAAATAACAAATAAAAGCATTGTTAATAAAGTGAAAGATGAAGTCAAAATCAAAAATTGAATTTAATAATTAATTGTTTAGTTCAACAAGATAATTTTATATATAGAAAATTAAACTGTTTGTAGAACTTCAATATTGGATAGGATATGGGCATGAGATCGTCCTAAGTTTGCCAACTCATAAACAGGGACAAGGAGTCAGCAGAAAAATATATGACTCCAGATTTGATATTTTTTAAAATCGACTCCCATAAAAAGATATGACTCCTCGATTCCCAACTCTGACTCGCCATCCCTGCTCATAGAGTTTATCTCAGAACAACTTTTGAATCTGTTTGAAGTGCTTTATCCAGGAATGTAATACAGAGAATAACGCACACTCACAGAGACACCTGCCTACAAAATTCCCATTTTGTTAAATGAAAAACAATTTATAAACCCACAGGAGTGAAATAATTTGCTAGAAAAGTTTAGCAGAAAAGAAAAAAAAAATTTCAATTAATGTAATCCAATTGTCATGTAGTGTTTTATCATGATAAATGTGTATATTATCATTTTATGTTATGTTAATAATTTGTGAAAGTGAGCTTTAATAATGTGACAATAAATGACATGGAAGAGATGGTTGAAAATGTGGAATTTTAGTGTGACATCAGTATCGATGGCCCTTAGACAAATTGAATGGCGAAAAGTTATAAAAAAATAGAGCACTTTCAATTTTAAGAAACGCATTGACAAAGAATAATTTCATTTGCATAATGTACTATTCACTGATGAGCACAGCATTTATTTATTTACTCAACACTTAAAATTATAGAAACTGGAGAAGAGAACAGTTCAGACTATCACATGCTGATCTTGACACCATTAAAATCACAATGTAGTGTGGAATTTGCTAAAAATATTGTAAACATTTATATAGCCAGAATTAATAAGAAGTAATCTCTAGTCCTAATAGAACAGTGCAAGAGCATACAATAAAATTGCCTTACTTTCATTTTTCAACATTATCCACATTTCTAAAATATTTTATTGCTGAAAATTATTATTATAATTGTATATTATAAAAATTACTTACAAGGAAGTGCATATTCACTTCAATAACTACAAACAACACCATTAACTGTTTTTTAATTAATTATTTTGCTTAATGAAATGGAAACTTTGTTAAACAAGAGAAGGAAAATCTATAAATCTATACTATTATAATAAAGAGGTAATGTTTGTAAGTTTGGATGGAGGAGTAATCTCTGAAACTACTCATCTGATTTCAAAAATTCTTCACCAATATTTAGAATGGAACTTCAGGGTGGACATAGGCTGTATATTATTCCGTTAAACATTCATATAAATTAAAAGATATATCTAGGGTTAAGGCTTTTATGTCCAACAGATGGCATTATGAGTACAACGACCTAAGTTTGCTTTTCTGTGAGGATGAACTAAAGCAGATCATCTTCTATCTTATCTATCTATATAAATAAAAATGTAATGTTTGTTTGTTCCTACCGATTTCTTTGAAATTTTGACACAATGCTGCATTCAAATACACACGTGTTTTTATATAACCAGGGTGGCCAAGCTCCTTGATAGTCCGAGCCATTTTTCAAAATTGAAATTTTTCGCGAGCCGCAATTAAATACGTATTAAAAAGGTATGCAAAAATTCCAGATTACAAATTATATCCGTAGCAAGAGTGATACAAATTGTTTCCTCCAGAGCACAATGTCAACTGTCCGTTGCAATGACAGTTTACAAATTCAAAGTCGGTCTGGAGTTGGTTGATAATGGACGATTACGCCACTGTTTATGTTCGTTCGCACAGTTTTCGATGAGTCGTATCATTCTTAACTTGGATGGAAATGAAATTTGTTACAACGTTGCACTTAGTCTTTCATATTTGTTGTTAGTAATTTAAAAGATATTTTGAAACACATACGAAACGATAATAATTTTTTAAAATATAACAACACAAAAATGAAAAGGGAACTCGGGTACATTTATCGAGAGCCACAAATAATCCTTCAAAGAGCCGCAGGTTGGCCACCCGTTATATAATATACATGTCGAAATTCCCCCCACTGGGAGGAGATAGATATAATTAAGGCTTACCATAAAGAACTCTGCTTTTATTTATACTATTTTAGATGTGGTTTTTTTGCGTTTTAATAGGGTATGTCAAGAGAATGTACACAAAAAAGGGATTTTTTGAAAAATTTCCCCTCACAGGGAAAGTGTTATACATTTATAATAGATAGATTTTGAGCCACAACAATGTGTGGCAGAGTCTGCTAGTATTGCATAAATGAGTATAGGATTTCTGTTATTTCATTGATATCATTTGATTATACACAAAGTTTATTGGTTTGGACAAAACTTCTCATAAATTTTTAAAGGTACAAGTATCAAACTTAAACATATATTAGTACAAGAACAATAAATCAATCCTTACCTTGTAGCACCTGTACAAGAAATTTTCCCTGATGACCAGATGGAAGCAGTAGTGTAAGGGTTTCTCAACTTCATTGATAACATCTGTAAATTAAAAAAGGAAAAACATTGTCATCCACTTTAAATTTTTGATATCCATAAATATATCTGCAGTTATACAAGAACTTAATAAGAATTATTGATAATTGATAAACATAAAATCACAACACTTACTTATATTGGGTTGACCCATAAGTCCTGGTGTTTTTTTAAGTGAAAATTTTGTGTGGAAAATAAAATGTTTTGGCAATGTATTTTATGTTATTTGATAGATAATTTTGTGCTCTACAAAATAGTTTTTATGCTGATATTCTATTTGTTCTTTTCAGGTCAATAAAATGGTGTCAAGTCGACAAAAAAAAACATTTTCAACACCTTCTGCTTTTTGCATTTAATTGAGATGCCAAAGCTACAGTAGCTGCTCAAGAAATTTTGAAGTGTATCGAGAAGAAGCAATTAAAATTTATATAATTAAATATTAATATACAATTTTAATTGATAAACAAAAATTATCTTGTAATCCAGTGGCATGCCATCCATGGAAGCTGTAGAAGCACTGCTTCCTTTGTATTTTCTAATATATAAATACATATTGTGCAATTATTTTCATATTTTAACATACTTTGAATTAATTAAAATTAATATTTTATTATAACCGCATTATGTATATTATTACAAATTTCTATACTACATGTGTAAAATAATGATAAGATTGCTATTGTATATTCAAATATAAATCCGTATATGCATATTCCCAATGGAAGCACCGTATTGTCAAATATAGGACAGCTTCCACAGTGAAAATATCTGAATTATGTAAAGCAGCCAAATTACATGCATTTGTGTATGCACTTTACAGAGCACCAACCTCAGATGATTTAGCTCATGGATACTACATCACTTACACCAAAATATCATATAAAGTTTCCAATGATTCTATCCAGGGCTGGCACAGCTTCCCTATCACGAAATGTCACCACACGCCACTGTGGTAATCATAATTGCTCCTTTTCAAGAAAAACGAACCTTCAAACTCAAATTTTAAATTCATTTTTACACATTTTACATAATGTTTCACAGATAAAAATCGCTTTATAACATATAACAGAAAAAACTTGTTTTCGTTTATCCTCACTATAAAATATTTTTTTTATTTTATTTTTAAATATATGTACATAGAATTTATTCTATGTACATAGAAATTCTATGTACATAGAATAAATTCTCATTTCCTTCAGACTTACTTATTGAAATGCCAATATACTTTACTTCTGTCTGAGTGCAGATTTTATTAATGTCAATTATGTAGCACCTTTTTAGGTAGGAGAGAATAAGCATGTGACTTGGGATTTGAAAATTATGAAGTCACAAAGCATGTATTAAAATAATGTTTCACATTGGAGGTGTACAAGCAAATCAATTATGAATAAAATCACATGTTCAGTGACACTTTGTTGTAAGTGTTTGTAAAAATCGATAACAAAATACTGCTGACTATTTTAAAGCTTATAAATTAATATATGGATTTAACACATAATGTACCTAGTTACTTGTTTGGATTAGGGTTTCTCATTTCCCGGTCTTTTGCTTGTCCCGGGATTCCGGGATAAAAGTGAACTGTTTCCCGGGATAGAATTAATTATTTTTAAGGTATACAAAATATCTTGAAATCAAATGATATAATTATTTTCCATTTTTTAAAGTAATTTTAAAGTTCTGTAACCTCCAAAATCATATTAATAATGCTGTGTAAGGTCTATAGGCCTATAATAAAAATTACCTTTAAATAACGTAGAAATTTTCACAAATAGAAAAAAATTAATTAAAGTTTGCTGGAAACTGCATACAACAACAACAAAAAAAATGTTTTGAATTGAGTTAAAAATTAAAAAAATGAACTTCTAATTTAGAAGGTAATTTTCGTTTTTTAAATAAAATATAATACAAAATATTGCAAACTTTTATAAGATTTTAAAAAGCAAAGATGGTCAATACTCCGATAACTCACTCTAATTCTTATTTTAGTAATGAAAAGTCTTGCCACCGAGAATGCCCTTTCCGATTCAATTGATGTGATTGGAATAGTGTTTAATGCATTTAAGAGAAGACAGATATTATGTGTTTTTTCACCTGTAGCCTGGAAGATTTCGAGTTTGTTTTCGAGATTGTAGTACTTCTTTTGCTCTCTAGTATTTTTGATTTGTCTACCTCGGCTGCTTTAATAGCGGCATCAAGCTTATAGCTCAATAATTCGGCAATTCGTTTGGCTTTAATAATCAGGTTTATGAAGAAAAACTTCATACTTGCAGACTTTATACTCGTTTGTATCTTTGCCCAATTTGCACAATCTGGCGTTACGCATTTATTGAAGCTACTGGGCATGGTTAAAAATTAAGACAGAATAAGCACAATTATTCCATATATTACAGGTTCTGACAAGTAAAGAATTTTTATAGTCCTGCCACAAATAAGCTATGTACTGATTATCGACCATTTGTGACATGCCATAACGAGCAAAAATTTAAAAAAAAAACTAATAGGTAGGTTTAAAATTAATAAATACAAATGTATTCTGACTGAATGAGATAATTATGCTTTCTATTTGCAAAATGTCTTAACCTTAACACAAAATAAGAAAAAAAGTGAATTTTTAAATTAAGAAATTTGCGGGATTTCCCGGGATAAGAAAAATTTCCCGGTTTAAAAAAAACAACCGGGATCCTGTTTGAGAAACACTAGTTTGGATGCTTTAAAAATTCTGAGCAGAGTTGATTTTAGTATACCAAAACCTCTTAGATAAGGAATTATTACCATCTGTTACATTTTCATACAGTTGATTTAACTGAATTAACAATTAAACAGATATACAATAAACTACATAAATTAATTTTTATCCAAGGTTGGTTGCAATATTTCCTGCTATTTGTTCAAAAATAGTAGTAGTCAAGGTTGCTCTAAAACTTAGCATTTCAAATGAATTTCAAGGTTTTAACATGTTTTCATTTAATATATTGAAGCAATATGTAGGGAAAATTTTTATTTATTTATTTTTGCAACCTTTTCTAATAATTTGAACATGATTACTGTAAACATAGTTATTTCATTCATTGCACAGGCTACTTGTTGGTCTATTTCCAAATATACTGATTGATGACACCTTGATCACTTTGTTTCTTTCCATGACTGTGATACACATGCTGGAAATTAACTACAGTATACTCTCATGCACACTTACATCTTGATAAAAATTTGTCAGGAATACAAATATCAGCATTAAAATTTTTAAATCTGCCTTGCTAACTCTTGCTATTTATAATGGTATATTGAGCATCAGAACTATTTTCAGAATTTCAATACATAAATTAAATGGCCTAACAAGTGCAGTAAGTGCAGTTGATTCTTGAATAATACAGCTTTATTTATATGTATACTGTATTTTTTTTTTGTAACTCATAAATAAGTTGTTAATTTGAAGAAAAAATATTTTGAATCATTTCCTTATCAGTAAATCATTAATATTGCAAAATTAACAACATTTTATGATTATATTTAGCTGGAAACCTTTCTTTCTTGGTTAGTAATACAAGAAATTGACAGTAAACTGCAAGGCATAGTTCAATAATTTTTCTGAATTTTCTGCTTATGTCAAAAGTTTTATTACCTCTGATCACATCTAAATCTTATTAATTAATTATTGTTCTCAAAACATATTTTCTTCACAACATAGAAACTATTAAGTTAAATTTAACATGAAATTAAAAATTAAATAAAAGAAAAATTGATTAGCTTTCATTAAAACAGACTTGCAGATTATCCATGTCTCCACTGCCAGTCAATAGCCAGGATAATCAGTATACTGTACATTGGGTGATCGGTTAACAAACAGTTCGGATGGCAAATCGGATAACGAACACTTTCATGAAAGATTTTTATGATCGGACAACGAACACTTTACTGAACAAACATAAAAAGAATAGACAGAAAATAACGAATACCGACTGATTTTCCCTTGTCTCCAGGTGACAATTTGAAACCTTTCAGAACGTGGAAGATGTCTACATCGACGTTCAACCCGATAAACAAAATACAGTATGTACGACCAGGAGTTGCTGGCCATTTACTCTGCTGTCAAGCATTTTTGACACCTGGTAGAGGGGAGGTCATTTGTTATCTACACAGACCACAAACTCTTACCTATGCCTTCCTCCAGGACTTGGAAAAAGCATCCCCTTGCCAACTCCAACAATTGGGCTACATATCTCAGTTGAAAACTGTGATATGCATGATTAGAGAAAGGAGAAAGGCCAAACTCATTGGTAGCCTTTAAGAAAAATGAGGGGGATTTGGATAGGAGAGGGGGAAACTGATAGAAAGGGAAAGAGAAGAGGGATCTATTAGCATCCATCAGAGATCAATTATTTGCTTGAGATACAGGTACTGTACATAATGTGTGCATGTAGAGTACAGGTACATACTTATTTTATACAATAGATTTAATACGCTCAAAATGATGTGATTTAGTGATACTGTTGAGACCACCCAGGTAGATGGAGAAATGGGATGGAGTGGTGACAGGTGTTGAACCGGTAAAGAGATGCCCAAATGACAATGATGATGTCATTACTGGGTGTTGACAAGCTGTATACTTTGCTATGTTTAGGTGTCCTTGAACCCATGAAAGATATTGGGATTTTCGACCAGGGTACTAGTTACGCAGTGCCAAAGATGTCCATTATCCTTGATAGCTTTCTGCAATTTGCTGCAATGCTGGGTGAATTTTGTGCAAGTGAAGATGATATGGGTGGGGTCTTCTTCTTCATTTGATTCAAAGCTATACAGACTGTCATTTTTTTTTCAGAAATCTCCTTAGATAGGTATTGAAATTGCTGTGAGCACTTGGGTTAGGCTGTGCAAAGAGCTGAAATGTGCCATATGCTCCCTGCATCTGATGTTGGGCAGAAAAGTATGAGTGAGTATACCTGTCTGGCTGCTGTCCCATTCTCTCTGCCAGCAGGAAGTGATGACTGAATTAAGTTCACCGTGGACACAGGATTTCGGAACTGGGAAGTAACAACAAGTGTTTGCAAGGAATGAGGGCTTCTTGGCCAGCAGGTTGGCTTTCTCATTCCCATAGACATTTGAGTGGCCCTTGACCCAATGGAAGTTGAGACTGACAGTATCTTGAAGAGCATTAATTAACTAACAGATGAGCCTGGCATTGCTTGAACAAAAAGTAACGATAGCAAAGATTAAGATTACAGGTATACCTCGCCTTACGTCGGTAATTGGTTCCAGGAAAACGACGTAAGTCGAATTTACTTGTCTCCGAATCTACTTGTCACTAGGCTAAACCATAAATTACCATTCCCGGTTCTGTATTTTATTTATTAATGCATTTTTAATAATATATGGTTAATAAAAATCTATTTTAAGCTTACAAACAAATAAATTTTA